GGAAACCATTAGATGTTAATATACACATGGCATTAAGTACCACACTTTTATCACAAACAGCGTGGTGCAGAAACTTGGATTACTGTGCAGCACCAAATTTGCACTACAAATAATATTTCTTCTTTCACTCTTTCTTCAAGTTCTCCTAAGACACTTTTCCTCAAGACCGAAGTCACTCAGGTTCTCTCCTGTGAGGAGTAAATGTTTCACTTCTAAGATGTAGAAATCACATCTAAAATGAAATACTGCTTCCCAACTATATTACTCTATAAACTGGTCCTTTTCCATTCACTCACTCAAAACTTGTCTCAATAGTTGCTTGGCTACTCCAGCAGTTTCATCTTTTTATGATGGGCAGAAATGGTGAGAAATGAAAACACAGCTTAAAATAATGCTCCCCCTTCCTACATCTCATTCTACTGAATCAACTTTAAAAGTGTTCTTCACAGTGCATTAAGCACATCCTTGAGACTAATTTTTACTATATTCTGCTGCTCTGTATTTCATATTTCTATTCATCTTCTATACACAACTTCATTTTCCCTTCAGAAATCCCTACTAACATCTTTTCCTCCTCCTTTCAAAAACAAAAAAAAAATCAATTTTGATTATTTTTCATCATATTTATTTCCTATTTCTATTTATAAAGTAACTCTGGGGATGCTCCTAAGCAAGATAACATTCTCACATGCAACTTCTACAGCTCAGTTCTTACCTGCTCTTAATTAAAAAAAGAACAACAAAATGAATACCACTACCACACAAGGTAATGCAGAAGCTCCTAGAATTTATTTGATTGATTATTTTTATTGCCACTGGCTCTCACTTTTCTACGTTAGGCAATTACTCTTTATTCCTTAGGAATGTTCTTATTCGCACAGTGTCTTCTCAGGTCAGTCCTTGGCAGAAGGGGTGCTAAAAAACAGCATCATGCCTCCAGGCTGTTGCCAGAACACCTGACTGGGACAAAGCATGCATAAAACCAGGCACCTGTTATACCAATAAGTATGAATTTTGTGTTAACCAAGAACATAAGGAATTCTTGAACACTAATCACAAGATGCACCTATTACCACATAGTAAAAGAAGACAAGAGAAAAAAAAAATAGAATAATGAACAACTGAAAAAAAAAAAAAAAAGAAATCTCAGGAAAAACATATTTCTTGGCTTTTATTCCCACAAAAGAATAATACAGAAAATGAACATCCATCAGAGGTACTGCAGTCTTATACTAAGCAGATTAAAATATCTTTCAATTGTGGCTGGAAACAAATTTTTTCTTTCCTAGTCAAATACAGAACAGTTCTTTCAAAATATCAATAAATCAGAGCTCCATTCAACACTGACCCTGGTGAGCAAGTTACCTGTTCTTTGCTCAAGCTATTCTCAAACCTCAAGTAGCAGCATTCATAGGAGTTTTTCTGAATACTTTGGTTATCAAAAGCATTTCATAACTGTACAAAAGCAGCCTGTTCCAATCCTTCTGTGGGATGCTGACATCTGCCTGGGAGCAGGCTCTGACCTAGCACCTGTGGAATGTTCCGACAGCAAAAGGCACAGGATAAGGAGTGACAGGAAATGTTTCTATTATATCTGTGCGTGCATTCAAACATTTGCGTTTAGGAGTCACCCTTTTTCTCAGAGCAGCAGCTGTAACAAGGATTTCTGCAGCATCCCGAGGCAGTTACAGCACACAGCTTCTGCATGCTGCAGCCCTGAGCTGCTTCCAGTCACTCCTCTGCACCTTCTCCTGGTTCAGAAGTAAACACTAATTCCTTTCCAAAAACTTACCATGTCGTTTCCTGTTTGAGGACTGCAGAATCATCTCACAGAAAGCAGTAAAAAATTAGATTGCAACCTATGTAGCACAGGAGTTTGAAAACAAAGCCTCATCTCTCTGGTTTGCCTCTATGATCTCAGCTGAGAGCAGCCTCCTGCCAGCTGCATAGCTCACGTTGCTGTTATCTGTTTCACTGTTTACCTCAACCATCAGCATTAGACCTGGTTTATTAAATCTGGGCATCCAGCATACCTGGAGAGCCATAAGAGGGCCACACAGCAAGAGCATAAGGATGCAGAAAAGTCATGCTGTTCTCGTGACACGTTCCCGGCATTAGTCAGGATTTTGCACTTCCCTACACTAACATTTTCTCTCACATCCTTGTTATGTTCAAACAGATGCAGCAGTTTCAAAGTCAGTGTCTGTCCTGATGCAGGCTCTGCCTCTTGCAGCAACTTGACAATTATACTGATAGCTTTGTAATTACATCCTGTTAAGCAATACCTGCTCTGTTTCATTTTTTTTAGCCTCCTCTATGTAAAAATATTATTTGAAACAGTTTACACAAACACCTATGGGGAATAGAACTATCAAGTTCATTTCATATCAAGAACTATCAATTTCCCCAGGATGAGAGCATTTATTGAGTTTTCTGAATGGGCTGCACTGTGAGTGCTCTGTGCTCTGAGCTCAATGCCTTCTGCTCCTTCCCGATCCCATTCCTTCACTGCCTTCAAAGTTCCCTCTGGATGTAACCAAACAACAAACAACCAGCAATACATGCTGCCATGCAGAAGTCTATTACATGATACTAGCATCTGGAAAGCCTCAAGAGAAGCAGTTTCCAAGTCAAGCAATAGCAATATGTAATTGATAAAACACACCTGGTACCTGCAGTGCCTAAGAAGATCGTAACTAAGCAACATCAGTAATGATAGCCCCCACCAGACTGAATATCCCAAAAGTAGCCATCTCAGGATATACAATATTCCAAAGCATTCCAAAAGAAAGCCTGGAACCCATTCACCTTAGCAGAAAGAATCTCAACAATACCTTGACAAAAAAGGACAGTAAGCAGTATAACCAGGAAAGTTACAGCCACAGAATCATACAATTATAAAATAGCTGAGGTTGGAAGGGACTTCACTGCTCATCCAGCCCCAACTCCCTGCTGTGGGCTGGGTGCCCCCAAGCAGCTCAGGCTGCCCAGGGCCCATCCATCCCAGCCCTGACAATCTCCAGGGATGGGGCACCCACAATTCTCTGAGCAGCCTGTGCCAGAGCTTCACCACACTCGTGAGTAAATAATTCCTTCCTAATAACTAACCTAAATCTCCCCTCTGTAAGTTCAAAGCCATTTCCCCTCATTCCACTAGTATCTGCTTGTGTAAAAACTCAGTCCCACTTTGCTTATAAGCTCTCTTCAAGTACTGGAAGTCCCTATATGAGAACTCCATCTTAAACATTACCAAAACATGCTGAGGTTTGAAACATTTCATTATTAAGTTAACTATGTTATCTATAACAATTCAATAGGCACGAGGGAAAAAAAGGCTATTTCTGAAGAACACGCTGTCACACTGACCCATTTTGAACATGTGTTTAAAGGCAGCGCAATAAGCTCCAAAAACCAACAAGGACCATTTGCAAAGTCTCAGTGGGCCACAACTCTGCCTACCTAAAGCAGTTCTCTGGAGCACGAAGGCCCTGCTGCTGCCTGCAGTGCAGTAGCACAAGATGACAGTGCTAGGTGGGGCCAGCAGCACGCAATGGGCTGGGAAGGTCCCCCAGCACAGCTCAGCCCCATGGAAATAAGGGCATGCACTGCCCAGTGCACACACTGGGTACTGAGAGCACAGCATACAGCAAGGTACTGCACAGGGGAAAGTAGGTCTTACTATAAAGAGACAGAACCTCTATTAGAAAGAAGATTTGTGTGAGATTATTTTTCATTATTACTGTGAAATTTGATTCATTTTGATTCAAAAATTGTGACAAAAGCGACACTTGCAATTCCCTGCACAGTTAATTCTGCGCATATTTTCTTTTAGCTCACTAAAAGTTCACTGATATAAAACAAGAAGTCTTTCGAAAACTATTTGCAGTCAGCTGCTGCGTTTCCTTTCCTCCATCGGAGCGGCGTCGGAACACCGCGTCCTCCACGCACGAACCTGCGCTGCCCGCACGCACCGCCGCCACCCGCGCTCCAGTTCTGCAGCCTCATCTCAACTTTTCCCTCTATTTCTCCTCGCCCAGCAGCGCAGCGCTGTCACGCGGGTGAACGAGCCGCGTGCGGGAAAGAGCGATGGGAACGAGCCTCAGCGCTGCCGCCGAACGCTGGAAGAAGGACGGGCGGCAGTGACAGGACAAAATTCAGCAGAGTGCTCCGTGAGGTGAATCACGCCGCCGAGGGGGAACGGAGACGCGGCGGATGCTGAAACGCAGCAGCGCTTCTCGCGGCGCCCCGAGCACGGCGCAAGGTGCCGCTCGTGCCGGAGGGGAACCGCTTCGCCACGCGGCGGCCGCGAGACCCCAAAGCCCACTCACGACTCCCGGAGCCACGCGGGCAGCGCCGAGGCGGCGGCACCCGGACCTCCCGCGGCCGTACCCCGCTGCTCACCTTAGGTTTGTAGAGCCACTTTCGGAACCTGTTCATCATCCCCGCGGCCGCTGCCCCGCCGCCGCCGCTCGGAGCGCGCCGCCCGCCGGCTGCGGCCACGGGGGCTGCCGGCTGCCCGCCCGCAGAGCGGGCTGCTCGGGGAGCGGGGCGAGCTCTGCCGCTCGCCGGGAAGCTCCGCAAGGCGGAGGGTCTCAGCGCCGCCCGAACGAAGGCTGCGCGCCGCCGCTTCAGCGCACGGACCGGCCGCCGGCACAGACAGCACCGACCGCTCCGCGCCTCAGCGCCCGCCCCCAAAACATTGCGCGGCCGCCCGCCCGACAGCGGCGCCCCCTCGCCGCTGCGCGCATGCGCAGGGGCAGGTCCACGCGCTCCCTCAGCACTGCCCACCGGCCCCGCAACCAATCGGAAGGCGGCTGGGTGCGGCCTCCGGAGGGATCGCCCGCCTACCTGGCCCCTTATTTGCGTAACACGAGGCGGAGGCGGGGGACTACATCTCCCAGCATGCCTCACGACGCAGCCGGAGGGGCAATGCGGAGCGCGGCGGCGCAGCGGATGCCGGGATTTGTAGTCTTCTCCCCAGGACCGATGCTGAGCGTGTCGCGTTCAGGGCGCCGAGCCTCTGCTCGTCACAGCTATCCTTATCTGAGTGCGTAGTGATCGTCCAATTAATTTCTAAGCCTCTCATTAGCGCAAGAACCAAGGAGACAATAATTGCGTTGCTCAGCAACGGCGACAAACAATCGCCGCCATCTTTTCTCCTGCCCGAGTAGTTCTTCGCCAATGCCGGCGCCGCTGAGCCGCACGAAGGAGAGCGCGCGAAGAACTCCAGCTCCCGTCAGCCCCCGCACCCCTCAGCAACCGCGGCGCTGCGGCGGCGGGCGGAAAAGCGGTGAGGTGGTGAATGTAAGGTGAGGCGCCTCGGTGAGGCTGGGCTCGCTTTCGCTATGGTGATTTCGGTCAAGCAGCAGTCTCGGTCTTTGTAGGCGAGAGCGAATATAAAGCCTGAAGGAATCTCTCAGATCAGTCTGTGGTCAGGCTTAGTGTATGCAGTTGCTTTCCAAGTATCCGCAGGCTCTGCTGTAAAGTATGGCCACTTGGGCTTCCTCCTTTAACAGGAGTTCTGTATCAGGTCATGGAAGACAACGTTTTCTTCAGGTCTAATTTCTATCATACACCAAAGTTAGCATTTTCTCCTAAGTGTATGGATGCACTCCTAACTCAATGCGTTTAGTTTCCGGTTTTATGTATATATGCTTTAATACAGGATGATAATCACAGCAGTTTGTTTAAATACGTTCACAAGGGAAGAGCCCCTCTATGTCCAGAGCACTCGAACTGTTAGTTTCATATTCCTTTTTTTTTTTTTTTTTTTTTTTTTTGTCTTTGTAATGACTGTTCCTTGGGAGAGAGGGAAAGGGAGGAATATCAGCATGTACAAAGGATGAGAGCTCAAACTGATTTTCTACTATGCTAGGAGAAAAAGTATTTGTCATGGGAGAGCTGCTGGAGCCTGAATTATGATTCAGTCTGAATGAGTGCAGAGGTATTTCTCTCCCCCTTATCCAGAATTCCTTGTGAGTGTAAGAACCTTGGCAGGTACAGAGAGTCGTGTAATGTTCTGCAGAGGAAGGGAGAAACGCTGATTGCCCCTACGACACAGACACTGTAACACCTCTTCTGTACTTGTCATCGTTTGTCCTGATCCAATCTTGTCTTGTTGGTCATTTATTTAATTTGGACATTTTGTCTTCATCACACGAGGTAACCAAATGCCTATATTGCATATAATCACAGACAAACACTTTCTTTTCAGCATTTTTTTAGTGATTAAAATACTGCTTAGGCAATTATGAGTGAGTTTAATAGTGCTGAAAGGAGAGTATCAGAACACAGTATCAGGAAATGTTACAACATTCTTTTACAACAAGAAATGAATTATCTTTACCACAGTGGCAGTGAATCATCTTGATGAAGCTTTCTTTCCCAATAGCAGAATATAAATATATAAAACACAAGAACCATTTTCAAAAACATATTTTTCCACCACGCATAATTACTTCTATGTTCATTTTTTTTTCTGATTGCTAAGCCAGATTAATGTCTTTCAGACCAGATCATTGTTATCATTGGTCTTTAAGACAGCAGCACACACATGTGTATAAACTAATGAATTATAGCTCTTGTCACTCAAACATTAAAATCCAGGTAGCTAGCTCTGTGAACTCTCACACCTACGAGTAAAACATCATTTGAGAGAGATACAGTCCTTTCACTTCTGAAACAAAACATCAAGCATAAAAAGTAACAAACTGCTGTGCCTTCAGAAACCTTGGCAGTGGCTGAAGCTACCTATGTGTTGTCGTTACTGCCCAGCCTGCTGACTGCCTTATGTTTAGCATGTCTCTATTCCCATTCCTTTTTTTTTTTTTTCTTTTTGAAAAATAGGTTGTTAACAACAATTTGTAACAGAATTTAAGATTAAAAATTCTGTTTTCATTTACATCTCACTGGGAAGATCAGTGTATTGAGCAGGACCAGTATAGCCCACATTCAAAAATTAATGCTTTTCTCAAGATTATATTTAATTACATTGTATCAAGTAACCTGATGCAGAAACCATTTAAAGTATCAACCTAGTGATCTCTTGAGATATTTGCAAAATAAGAAATCTCTTGTATTTTATTGATGTTTCTACAGTTTTCTCGTTTCTCCTGCTAGCGATTCTGAATAACTGTGATTTTGAAAGCTTGACCTAAATGTTCTCTTGTACATTACTGCAGTGCATTTTCTCTATGAGCCTATCAACATACATTATGCTACAACTGAAAAGGGCATGAAAAATTAATGATTTACTATATTTATAGGATTCTCCATGGTGAAGATGGTCAGCCATGGAAAACATATCACAATAATAATCCAACAGCTTAACAAATTTAACCCAGAAAATCAGAGCATGGAGGATTTCTGGAATGAATCAGCTAAGATGTTGCAGGTACATTAAGTTTCATCTCATTTTACATCGTTTACAACATTTTGGTAAATTATTTTAAATATGAAGTTATCAATTTTCTAACATACTGTTGTAGCTTTCCTAGATTCTTTTTACAGTACCAATGTTTTTCATTCATGATTTTAAGACCAAATTTCTTATTATCTGGTTATCATCAGAAAAGAGAAAAGTGAAAAAAAAAAGAAGTGCTTGGGTAGCAACAAAAGGTGGGGGAAGCAACCACGTCCTAAAATGAATCTGACAGTCACAGGGAAAGTTTCTCTTCCACTTCTAAACTCTTTTATCATTGTCTTTCTCCTTTTCTCCTTCCAAATGAAAATTCCCATCAGCACCACATATTTATATATACAAAAGCAGTTCAGAAGCTGGTTCACAGGATCAAGTATTCTTGCTTTGAGGACATAAGTGATTGTCCCAACAGTGAGATAGAAGGCAACTGGCAGTAAACTGAGTACCTGATTCTAACGTAATACTGCAAGTAACCAGACCAAGGTCTGCCAACCTGTAGCTGCAGCAGTTCCAATCCTTTACTTACCATGCTCTGTCATCTTTTCACATTTCTTTGTCCTTTGTGACACTCTAACTTCAGCTAATGCAGCCAGTGGGTTGAATCAGCTTTAAAAAGTCATGAAGACATTAGTATTATTAGCCTACTGCTGTCTGTACGTGCTGTGTACTAACAAACTACGTTGTCAGAACTCTGATTCTCTACTGCCATGTGGCTCGATTACTCATTTTCACTTCTGCCAATAAAGTCTAAAGTGCTGCTATTCCATGTAATTAGTTTCTTCTGTGTTCATTCTGCATAAATGACTACAGGGATATAAAACTTGAGAGGTCTGATAGGGAGACCACAGTTAGGGGTGTTGAATCCATTTGCATTTCTTGACTATTTGCTTTCTTAAATAGTTTCCAGTTAGGCACCTATTTTCTGCCTCTTGCACTGTACTGGCATAACTCTTTATGCATTCATGTGTTGAATTACATCAGGGAATTGATCCAGTTTCAAAATATTCATTTTTCACTGAGCAAAGACTGGGTAAATTCAGCTGAATTCACTGCTGCCAAAATAAATACTTGTAAAAATTAATATTCAGAGCATCTCTCTTCTCAGCCCAGGAAAGGTGACATAAAGACAAAAGAAGCAGTAACTCCATTAGAAAATCATGAATGTTAGGATTCTTGTTAAACTCTTTCAAATGGAGAAGAAAACAGAGCATAGCTGATGTCATAGATAAGGCAAAAATCTTTCTCTGGGATAGTTTAAAACATTCTATTTCACTTCACTTGCTACATAATATTTTTGCTGGGAATTTATCCACCAAAATAAGATCTGATTTTATACAGAATTCAGCTTCAGGAAATGTTTCACTTCCAAATTGGTGATTATAATTTCTCATGGAAAATTCATTTTACTTCTTTCAAATTCTATGAAAATTTTGTAGTAGGTTTGTGGTCCCCAAAATATTACTTTGTTTTTGTACACATGATCTCCAGGCTTGGCCACTTACTAATTAGTTGGTATTAATGACTTCAGCAGAAACTTCTTCTGGTTAGGATCCTGATTCAGGCCATCACTTTAAACCACACTCGATTTGAGCCTTTATGTCTCATGGTAGCAGCATTACAATTTGCAAACCTAACATTGCGAATTACTGCCCAGACAAAAATCAACAGGGTCAGATTTCAAAAGTACAAATCCTTATGGTGGCAAGACACAGCTCTTCACTCAGTTAAGTGGGTACCCAGTGAATCAGACTTGACTTCTCAACGAGTCACTGTTTTCTATTCTATTAGAGTTTTCTATTTGGTTAAATTGTTTTCCATCTCCTGGGAGAATAATCAGATTCCATCCATTATCAACTGTGTTTCGTTAATATTATGTGTCTTTAAATATTGTATTTGTATGTTTCTAATCTTCGTGTCCTTCTAATGTGATACCTGATATATCTTGTCTAGTTCTTTGATAACATATTGATAACAGAAAATACTTGTTAACTTATTGTCCAGCTGTTTGATGTTGTTCCTGGTGAAACCAACACGTTTGAGCTAGAAACAAACTAGGTTATTTCTTTCACAATAAAAAGGCAGCATGCACAAATCACTCCAGAATATGTTTTGAGATTCAGCACCTTCCCCAGGCTCTCTGCAAGCCTGTGGGAGCCTCTATGGACACCAGTATTGAAAAGTGCCAGGTCCTCAAATTACTTCTGACAGCCACATGCAGATACCTGGAACTGTAAGGAGAAGATAGCAGAGGACATTTTACCAAAACCTATTTTCTTCCAGAACGAAGTAAGTTTTGTGGAGCGATGTAGATGCTCGTAATAGCTGAAGTTAATCTAGTTCCAACACCTCAGGTGCACAGGAATCATCCAACCCAGCCTTGAGCGCCTCCAGGGATGCGTCAACGGCAGCTTCTTGGGTAACCTGTTCCAATGCCTCACCACTCTCTGAGGAAAAATTTCCTCCTAACATCTAATCTAACTCTCCCTTTTTTTAGTTTAAATTCTTGTTGTATCACTGTGCATTTTCCATTCATATGTGAATATGTTCTAAATCTCATGGGTTAGAAAACCCAGTTTTCAAGAGAGAACATCATCTCTCCAAGGCCACTCAGGAAGCAAAAGAGAAAGGCCTGTTCCAGTCTCATTTCCCCCTTGCAGCTCCTATTTCTTGTTTTTATAAACAAGTGGAGTTAGGAAATCTCACTGATTGTTAGCCTTCTGTTTTTAGAATAAAACAAATGAAATTTGGTTCCTTCTAATTAGAATGCTATGATAAAAATTAGTCTGGAGGAAATTCTGTGTTAATTCGCACATATTTTATTTCTGCATCATGTTAATTTTATGTCGTGAAAAGAATTTATGTTGATTGTTCCCACTATGTTCCCATACGTGATTTTCTTCCAGGAAAGAAATCACACTTTGCCTTGTAATTCAGCTATTTACAATCTTTGCGTTTATTGCATAGTATTTTATAATGCTTGGAACACAACAGTGGACTTGTTTTTCACTGGGAATATTTTCAGGAACATGGGTTCCTTCATTACATGATGTGTGACTCCTAGTTGCAACAAGCCAGCCTTCACCTTTGATCTCAAAGCGTCTGTTATGGCCTTCAAAGCTCATAAAAACAAATAGTAAGTGCATATAAATGCTCTTGTTCCAGTGTTATGACCTCACTGATATTAAAACAGAGTTCACTTTGAGTTGCCTGGAAAACACATTAACTTAATTATTTAAATCTGTCTTGGTTCTTTAAATTATGGATATTCACATTCAAAACTACATGTTCATTTCTATTATTCTTTGTTTGAATGCAAACACTGCTTCTCTTTGCTCATCTTCCTAAATGCTTTTTAATACTCTTCCCATCAGTTGGTGCCCTCCAGATAATATCTTCATTTTTGTTTATTAAAGCCCCTTCTTTTTATTAAGTATCTTCAATTAAATCTATTAAAAATGATCCGCATCCATAGAGATCCTTCATCAAGTATATTTTACATAAGGACATGATTTTATCAGGCTTTCTATAAAAACTGCTTCTGCTCATTTTGAAGGGAAAAAAGTTTTGATCAAACTGAATCATCACAGGCAGTTTTTCTTCCAGCTGACTGCTAGAATCAAGATTTTGCTACGATAACAAGACACACTCTAATATAGAATCTGCCATGCAATATTTGTGCCTTTCTCTGTGTAAATAACTCACCTTATTTTCAGCAGAATTATTTGCTTCAATTAGAATTGCAAGATCAGACCCACCATGTGACCTTTATAAACCTCACCTACTAAAAAGCTGGAGTAGCCACTCCATATCCACTGTTCTACTCCTTTATTCCTCTGATATTGATAGCAAGAGGAACCTGTTTATGAGCTTTCCATGTGCAAGAACATGGTGTAATTTGGCATAACTCTTCATCGTTCTCATTTGTGTTGGTTCAGCTGTATGTCTCACACATGCCCACTCAACTGTGAGTAAAATCTCCAAATGTCAAATGTCACTGGCTTATTTTTTGGTATGAAAATAATTTAATGGAAGATTATTTTGATATATGCAGTGGAAAAAATCTAATCTAGTCGAATCTAGTTTGTATTATCGCTCACTGAAATAGATGCATGTTATGATCTTTCTAAGAAAAGGATGGAATCTGATTTTTCTGCAACATCCTGCTCATGTAACTTAATAAGTACAAGGGAAAATAGCCTTAACTGTACCTCTTTGAGATGATCAGCATTGTTACATGAAAATACTAGCTGCTGTCTGCAATACAGATTGTAAATAGTAGAAGCAGTGCATTCTCCTATTTATATCCTAACATCCTAAAGCTTTTTTCCCTATTGCAATGGCTAGAAGCATTTTCACTCATTGCAGGGGTAAAAGAGGACTCAGTTCTGGTAACTGATCCAAACCCCAAGGAAGTCAGTGGGGATATTTTCTTTCATTTTCATGGCATTTTGATTAGACCCCTGGAGAGACTAGCACTGATATCAGAAGTGCTATAAATTAATCAGAGAGCATCTGCAAACCGTGCATATTCTGCCTAGAAGTAGGCAAGATCAGTACATGAAATTGCACAGTCCTCTCAGGAGGTGAAAGCTATTTTATCTTTTCATCAAATATTATCTTCTTCCATAAATGTTTGTTTCACCTTAAACTAAATCCTTATTCTGAGGGGTCTCAAGCAGGGCATGGCTGATGTTCCTTCCCTTCCTTTCCTTCCCTTCAGAAACAAGAACTTTTCTTTCTTTCCTTACCCATCCTTTTCTGACCCCCCCCTAAACAGCTCCTATTGTCATGCTTATTATCATGCACCCACACTGGCAAGGCTTGCTTTTTGCAGATACTTCTCCATTTAATTTATGGTATTTGTAGTACTAACAAATTGTGAACATTGTGTTCACAAATCCTAAGCTTAAGCTTTCTTACACATTCTCTTCTGTTCTCGAGGCAACTTGACCCATTCCCAGCTACAGTTAAGTGACAAGGAGCAGGGAAAATATGCCCCCAGAAGCAGACTGAGGGCACTGGGAATCTCTCAAAAGGCAGAGATAATGCCAGTCAGCACATATTCCTACGTGAGTCAGTCAATCTCATGCACAGACAGGATCCTTCTTTTTCAACTTAAACACTTGGGAATTAGGAAAACTGAAATTCAATGTCATGAGGAGAATGTGTTCAGATATTTTTTATGACAGTGACATTGTGAACACATATTACAATGTTTTACTTACATCCAATACAGCCATTGCTCAACACTATGAAATATAGGCTTCCAAACATTAAAAAGATAGAACTGTCCAATATACTCTTATAAGCTCACTATGCTTTACACAACAAAACAGATAAAAAGCTGTAATATTTGAGATAGAGAGGTTGTTTCTGGAGGCATATTGTTCCAGATTAATTGTTTTAGATGAATTTCAATGATGAGTGCAATGCTTGCTTGCTTGACTTTGTGTTATCTGGGGAAAATCTGTTACTAAATCAGTACTACAGTTCCAGATTTGCAAAATATTGCCCAAAAAGGAATCTCTTTAAAAAATGTGATGTGCCAGCCCTCAGAGCTGTTCAGTATGTGTGTTTTTCAGTTACCTCAAAATGACTGTACTTCTTTTTATACACAACTAACGTTTTATTTCCAGAAAACAATAATTGTTATTAATTTTGTGTCTCTATAGACTCTTAATGTGGCAGAAGAAAAATTTGTATTGGAAACACTAGCTGGATGTATAGAATATAAATCCTTACTGGATGTAGTAGTCAATGCCTTTTTTGCTCGTGAGGGGAGATACTGCCTGATTTCTGAGCGTAATCTCTACATAGGTAAGCTCTCCTCAAAACAGCAAATATATTTAACACAGATCTTTGAAAAACATTATTTTATTAGTGCAGGTCTTATTATTACATTTGAAGTATTGTGCTCAGTGCAGTATGAAATACATAGGCTTTTCCAATAGCCTAATGTTGTAATGTCTAAATCCTGAAATTGTTATTTAGTTTGGGCTCTCACAGGCATCAGGTGGATATTTATCTGAGAAAATTCAGTAGAATATACCTAAAGATAAGGTTGATTGTAACATACAGGCTGGAAATAACATCACTGGCTAGAAGTATCTTGAGAGCTCATTGTTTTCCTTTATTGTTTTCTGTGAGATTCAATACCTTTGCCATTCAGAAATGAAATTGAATAACAAAGCTCTGTCTGTTGGGGAGCGCAGCATGTCTCACAGGATAAGAAACCATTGTTTCTATCCATTTATTAGTTCCTTCATCATTAGTCATCACAATACTGTAGATAGACTTATGCTTTGTCTCCATGTGTTAGGTCAGCCGTCTACCTTACGCTAGTTCCTAAATTAAAATCAGTTATAATGCAACTATATCTGATAGAATGAGCTAGTTAGATAGAGTAGGTACTATCCCCAGTGTTACTTCAGGCATTGAGAAGTACTTAAAAATCATCTTTTAAATATTTTTATGCTGTGCATTTAATACAGACACACTTAGGTTGAGTTATAAAGTCCCTAAATGAATTGGAATCATGGATTGCGCTGGCATTGGTTCACCGACTCTTTTGGGGTACTTTGTAATGTCCAGACTGCTTCATTCCAAATGACTGAAAATATTAAAACATAGCAAACAAGCACATCTACATTTTATGTTTTAAAAGCTGTTTCATTTCTACAGTAATTCCGGTTTCTTCTGTCGAAGTCCCAGGAAAGACTTGAAGTCTGAACCAAGTAACAACCTAAAGGGAATGTCAGGGACAAAATTCACAGAAGATTGAGTTTTTTCTAAATGATAGTGCTTCACTGTCTCCATTTCTCCAAAGCTTTGTTTTTCAGTGTCTGGACCACGTAAATTATACCTTTAAGCTCAGTGTTGCTATAATTGGATTGGCAGGACTGGTCCACTCAAAAGCCTCCATTAATCATAGACAAAGGGGAGATCCCAGAAGATTTTTCTTTATCAACAAGTTGGGAGCTTAAGGTCATTGGCTTATATTTTTTTAAGCGGCTTGTGATTCCCTTTGCCAAGCTGCATTGACACTTAAATGATCAAAGCTGCTTATAAAGGCTGTTGCTATGTGTGAGCAGATTTGAATTTAATAAAGCTTGTAGGAGATAAATGTATATTCTACTAAGTCTGCTTAAATGTGTTGCTAGGCTAAAACACAAGATTGAAGCCTGACGATACACTGAGTTTGTTGCAGCATTTTGGTCAGAATTTCTCGGTTTGGTGGCAGCTAAAATACTGCAGTGTGAGTGAAGTCTGATTGATGCAAGTGAATACAGTCAAGTAAAAGCTGATACGGAAGCTTGTGAACTTTGCAGGCTCGTTGAAATCTCAAAGAACTGATTCCTCCTTTATCAAACTGCATACGTGCCAGAAGAAAATGAGAGAATCAGACTTGGATTTCTCAGAGAATTCCACAATTTTAAAATTTGCCATAATTGTAATTTAGAATAAAAACAAAAATTGTAATATCTATGCAAAATAGTCACTTGCAAATTAAAGGGAAATGAAATACTAGAATTTTTATGTTTAGAATTTTTGTTTTGTACCATAAACTGTGATTTGGGAATAGGTATCCTCTCTAAAAATATTAAAAACAGAATATGTTGAATATGTTGAGAAATCCACTATAAACTTTTTTTAGTTTATTTTTCTTTACTTTAAATTTTACCAGAATGACTTTTCTTATACGTATACGAAAATGTTCACTACATCACAAGAGAGCTGTTTATAACAATTTAATTCTTTCAGCAACTTTTCAGTCATGCCTCTTAGGAGCCATTTGACTCCTGATATCCTGCCTTATTGCTAGAATGATATGGAATTTCACTGATGGAATGCGTGTACTTGGTGTATTGGATGATACAACTGCCCAAAGAAATGGGCTGCCCTTATCCCCACTGCCCTCCTGCTCTCACCCCCGTGAATTAGAACAAACTTTTAGCCACCGTTCAGCAAACTGAGAATGAAACTGTTTCAGGTGAAAATCCACAATCTGATTCACCTTGGCTGTGTGCGTGTATTTGCCCCAGAGAAGAAATGCCAAGAAGTAAAAGCAGATAAAGGAAACAAGCATTTAGAGGTTGACAGAGCTGCTTATTTTGTAGCGATGAGGTTGACACAGTGAAATGTCTTCAAAATCATGGCAAGATCTTAGAGGATTCCAAGTTCTGCACTAATAGATCTCCCAGATATTTGCAGGTATCAGGATGATCTCTATCTTGGATACTTTTTGGATAGCTACTGTTGTTTTACATTTTTAGTGTAATTGGATAACTGTCACAATTTTTGCATTGAATTCTCTATAAATTCTTCATAAAACTGTAAATCTATGCTAGCTTAGATCTAACTCAAGAAACAGGTAACAGATTTATATGAACCACAGCATAGTCACAATGCGAATAACAAGCATAAGCTGAATATAACTTTTCTTTTACAATTTCTAACTGTTAAGCACTATATTGCCCAGTTAGATAAGCAATATTGATGAGTATTTAAGATTAAAGTCCCAGAGCATGCTGAGCAGAGGGTACACCAGACTTTCCTGTTGCATTTTAAATATATTTCTCTTTTGGCAGTTATTTGCTATTTGGCGACTTTTCAACTCGAAGAGCTTGGTCTTCAGCACTTCAGCAGAATTGTGAAATCCCTAGACACTGTAAAAATGCATAAGGTAATAAAAGTACAATTTTTTCTTCACTAATTAGTGTTTTCTTCATTGTAATTGGTTAATCAGATAATTTCAACTTTCAGTATAATTTAAATGGAGAAATTAGTTTTCAGTTGTAATTCAGCAATTAAATAGAAATTATTATTCTGTTATTACAAAAATCTTGAGTTTCTGTACTTAGGCAGCAACTACCTCATATTCAAACAAAGATTGTTAAATTGTATTTTTTATCATCTAAAGCAGTAGAATAATCCCAAGATCTATAGTTCATGTGATTTACAGTTGTCCTTCTAGCTTACTCTTGGTTCTGCTTGCATTCCATCTTTAACTTCAGGCAATAGAAAAAGTTTTTGCCATACACGAAGAATCTGTTCATGCTAGTTTGTATTCTTTTTTTCCCAAGCAACCCACTCCCACTTTGATGATTAATCCTACTGCCCTTCCAATGCTTTTCCCCTTTTCCAGAAAAAGCAGAGTTTCTAGGTTGCAGTTATGCGTTTACATCAAATTACATCAAATTACATCATTACAAAATATAGACAACTGATCGTTCCATTACTGCCGAACAGAAAGAAAATTCTGCTCGCTTTTCCTCCCTCCTCATCAGCTTGGATTTCTCTCCTCTACTTGTTTGCTAGTTTCCATGAAACTTACAAAAATGTAAAGATCTTTTGCTTCTCTTTAAAGATGTTTGAAGGCACTGACTATCTTAAAAGCTATGCTTTAATGCCAGGGAGAAGGATAAATTGGCTGGCAATGCTTTCTCATAAGCCCTGCTTTTTTGGGAAAATAAGCTAAAAATTAGATTACTGGTGACATACTTGTGTTAACTGTGACAATGTGGGTGTTGCAAAGCGCATATAAACACAGTGTTTGAATAGCAAATAACATAGTCTTCTATATACATGTGAGATTTGGGGAACAGCCAAATCTTAATCATTAGTACTCAAAAGGTGATGTTTCTCTTTTTTCTGAACATTGAATGTTCATGTGGATGGCTGTATCTTTCTCATGAGCACAGTTGCTTTGTATTATGTAGGAAGAAGGAAGGTTAGGTTGTCTGCATAATGCTTTTAGGAACATTCTGGTCACTTTGCTTTCATGTATTTAGCATGGATTGTTTTTATTAATTCCATTCGGAGAACAAAATTCTGTATTTCATTAACTGTTAGAGCAAAAACCCAAACAAGTGGCTAGAAGAATTACCTTAATCTGATAGACAGACAAATCACTCTCTCTAAAATGCTCTCCCAGCATCTTCTTTAGTAAACATCTTAGAAACAAGCCACTGGATTGGATGCATTTTGAGCTCATTCAGCTAGCAACACAATCTTCCCACTTCATACCAGTTATCTCTTGTTGATTCCATTCACCCAGATGTATACGTTGTCACTACCATGATGTTTTATTTCAGACAGTTTCTCCTTTCTTGTCTGGAATGATTTTTGTCTGGTAGGGAAGTGCTGCACGTGTGATGATCTGCACCTACTACATTTTTTTCTCCTGTAGATGTTTGCTTAAGTATTTTACCAGATCCTCATCACCATGGTACCTAGGTTTTCCTTTCTTCCATTAGAAGAGGTCCTTTGTCTGCAAAGTAAAACTAGATTATAGTGATGCACCTGCAGTAGAGGATTTAGAAGCAGTGTTTGGTCCCCCAGCAACCGAGACAAAAAACAGCCAGAGGCAGATTAACAGCCTTAGCAACAGCCTGAAGTTGTCAGCAATTTGGGATTCTCCATCAGGATGCTGACTTGTACATATTGCCTGATGACTGTTGTGCCTATGTTCAGTTGAGGTAGAAAATAATTGTTCACACATATTTACTTAGAAAAGATGTATTTCGGTTAAAAGATAAATGTTTCTGCATAACACAGGCTGACTGAGATTTTCTTAATCATGCAGATAAACCATATACAGATGAGTAGCTTTCATGAAATGAAAGGCACTATGTATAGGAGATCTACTGGTTTGAGTAAACCTTCTTCTTAGAGCACTGCATGACCGAATCCATTTGAAGGAAATTCAGTGTTTCCCTATGACTGGTGCCTTCAAGCATTTTCCAGGCAGAATAATAATACTACCTTGTTCACACACATTCATCTGCTTGAACAGAAAATTATAGGATCACATTCTATACTTTTAAGAATATATACAAGAATTCTTTGTGTTTGTATACTTACAGAATCATAAGATAAAACCCAGTTTTGTAAACTTAGCAGGATTGTTCTTGAACATCTTAGTTATGCATTGCTAACTCAAGTCTATTTTCATGCTTAATTATTCATACATTTTTTTATTTTATTTTTGTGATAAAATTTTAGGGTTTGTACGATAGAGGAAAGACACTGTTGATATAAAATGTTGAAGTAAACATTTATAATTTCATACTTGCCCCGTAGAAAATGCATTCCCTGTAGCATTTAAGAATAGGTTTCATTCTATTCTGTTCTGGTTGTTACCAGTGGCTCTGAAGTCATTGGTAAAGAACTTCTGAGATCAGCAAGCAAAATTACTGAATAAGTACTATATATTATTATTTCTATTGTTATGAGATAGGAATAGTAGGAAAGGGTCAATAGGAGGTAGGACAAGATCATCCTCCTCAAGGATATAAGGACAGAAGGTCAAACAGTGGCAGAAGGACCTGAGATCATGCTAAGACACTTTTCTGCATACATTTAACTCAGGATTCTCAAAACGGAGTTGTCCATTTCTTGGTAGGAATGCTTACAAGTGGTTCAACTTCAAGTGAAGAATAAGAGGGAAAGAATCAACAGGAAAAGAGGAGTGGACAGGAAGGTCCTTGATTGCCTTTGCCAGTACAACAGATAGCTGTGGTTGTGTGCAGCCAAAGTAATCTCATTCTCAGGTAGTGGCTGATCTGCATAGAGAAAATGAATCTACTGTTTCTTGCAGATATTTCCTTGACTGAATCAATGAATCAAAAGCTTATATCATGAATGTAAATGGCTGTGAATGTGAAGATGCTCTCAAATGAGGAAATGTCCCATTTTTTAATTTTCTTCTTAGAAATAATTCCACTGGGTAAAATACATATAAAGAGAATATTAGCAGGACATGTTCAAATTCTCACAAGAATTAATTCAGCCCATCTGTACAAATGCTTTACTACAGCCAAAGGAAGTTAAAATTGTAAAAATGGGTATAATATCTGGTGTAATTCCACCACTTTCAGAGAAGAAATGAATCTAGCTCATCTTGCTCAGTGAGTAGTTAAACCTTTGGACTATGAACATTCAGGACAGGGAAGTAAGCAGAGTAATGCTGTTATCCAAATGACTGTCTGGTGTATTCACTAAGGAGACAGATACTGATAACAACTGAACAGAAATCTGAGAACTTTAGACTGTATTTTGCTGCTATACAAGGAAAGAACTATTATACTGGGGTTGCCACCCGCTCACGTGTGACCAAAGACAAAACAGAAATGTAAGGTAATTTCCTAGTAATTCAGCTCACAAAACACAGAAGTTTCTATTGCTAAGCAACAAAATCTGCTGTTGTTTTGTGGGTCTGATTCTGCCCAGGTTTGCTGTTTGTAATGTGAAATATAAAAGCCAAGACTGTGGACTTGGGCCCAGGCAGCCTAGGGTCAGAACCAATGTCTGGCAATCCCTGCATAATCACTGGTATTCCCTGCATTGCCTGGTTAACTGTTCCAGGGCAGCAGCCAAGGTCTTTTCCCACGTGATGCATTTTGGCATATCCTTACAGCAGTTCTCTTTGGATTGTAACTAAAACACAGAAGGCTAAAATATGGATCACAATATCTGTGTCTGATTATACAGTTAACCACGCTCTTTGCCTCACAGGAATACATCATAGCATCCATCCATCACAGAATAACCCATTTGTCCTAACATGGTGTGAAATGTTAATAATGAGTACATGACTGGAGTTGCAGTGGGAGACCTCAATGATCATAACTCAGCTGTTTAATACAACAATGAGAAATCACAAAATATATGCTTTTATTAGTTTCATCTGCCTTGGAGAGGTAGCTGCGAGTACTTTGTAGAAGATTATTAAAGCAAACATTTAGAAGACCTGGACAGAAAAGATCAGTCAGGAAGAGCTCAGATAACAATAATTCGGAGGCTTAGTTTCATGGGGCAACATAATGGAAAACTGATTGAAGGCTCTGAGAATGGAGTCGGCTATAAAAGAAGAATACTGGGGACACAGACAGGGAAGAGGAGTTCGAATTAATGAAAGACAATGAAAGAAAACTGGAGGATTTATAAAACACCACCTGTAGTATTTCCACAGCAGCTTCTCTATAAAGACTCTGAATACTCACAAATTTGAAATTAACTTCTCATCTCAGAGTCTGCTTCTTTTTAAGTATAGCTCATGTTCAATACTTCCCTGTATGTATACTTGCTTACAAGGGATATAAAAATACATTTTTTTATAAACTCTGGGTATAGTCAGGGCCTTCCATAAGGTAAGAGAAGTACTTTGGCAATGGACACGATGCTCTGGGTCTGTAATCATATCTGCACTGGGATACCTGAATGTAAAATTTGTTGTTGTATCTGCTAGGAGTAGTGCATATGCAGTGCGTTGGTACTCTTGGAGACTTGTCCACTGTCTAGACTTTCAGCATTTTCTTTTTACATTACATAAGCACAAATGATTGTGTTATGTGAAAAATAAAACTGAACACGTGTATTACAGAGAAAGATCTTCCATAAGGAGAACAAATGAGTTTCTAAAACAATAGGATGAAATACTTATCATACACTTGGCAAACTCCACTGAACCTGGCAACAGCCGCCTTCACAATTCAACATTTAGTTTATAGTCCTGCTTTTAGACATTAAGTGTATTCTTCTAGGTAGTGAAAAAATCAGCATCTGCAGTTTGGGGGAAAAACAGTAATTTCTAGACATGAACGGGAATCCAAGGTGTTAACAATCACTTTATTCAGTTGTCATTCAGTTGCTGATAAGACATTTGACTCTACCAAAAGCCAAATAGATGAAAATAAGTCAAAATTTACAGGTTGATTCCTTGGAAATTATCAGAAGTCTACAGATATAAAGTAGACCTTCTGTGCTTCTGTAACTTCTGCAGCAAACAGCTATAGCCAAACCTATACTGTTTATAGCTGAGTAATTCATGAGGTTCTAACCCATCTTGAGCTGGGCACCACCTGTGAATTAAGAAGCTGCCTGTTAGTCCTCTGGAACAGAAATTCTATACATTCTATATATTCTATGTCCCCCAGTGTCTTTATTATTTAGGGCTTTTTTGCTGTCACTGGGATTATTTTGGTGTGATACTCAGCTCCCTTCCACTTCCAGATGTTCTATGATTCTATGATTGCCAGGCATTTTTTCATTTCAGTAATGAAAAAGTTCAGGTTCAAATTTGAAATTTGTATGTCCATGATACATGCTGGATCTGAGTGCCATTTTCAAGAGGGTTTCAAAAGTCTGTTTGAAGAGCTCAGATTTTAAAGGAACGCTTTTAACCTTCTGGTGAGTTCCACTGGAAATCACACGTTCGAATGTTGTTACTTGTCAAACACGTAGAGCTGTATAATTTATATTTATAATATTTGCCAAATTGAATCTTCCTAGTTTAATGGGAATATGCCCATTAATTATATTTCAGTAAAAAATGACCACATCTTATAGCAGCTACTGTACATCTCACCAGTTCTCCTTGCAAAGTTCCCAGGGAACTGAAAGGATCCAAAGTAATTCAGGTGCACTGCCAGGCCTAAGATATTTTGGGGCACCATGGCTCACCCAGCTACAAATAATCAGGAGTTGGCTGCAAATATTTTAGTCTTCAAAACTCTATTGTGTAATGAAACTAAAATCAGTGTTTGGGAGCAGCAATTACTTTATTTTTTAATGAAAACTTGTATTGCACAATGTTTGGATGCATCAAAACATCTCCATGCTGTAGCCACTAGATTTTTTTAGGCCATTAAAATATTTTAGTATCTATTAACGTTTCATTAAATAGAAGATCATAAGGCTTTCCAAGCAGAACTAAAGACACACAAATATCAAGCAGATATAGTTATAATATAGGGTATAATAAAACCAAGTTCTTCAGCAGTGTTTGTAAACAATCATGCTTGTTTGTTTGAGGGTGTTTTGGTAGTTTTGCATACCTCATACCTTTAATAAGCATATTGAAAATAAATCACTTGTTACTAGTTTCTTAGATTCTTCTTCAATGCCTTGTATTTGAACACATGGATAAAAGATGAATGGAGTCAGCTGTATGATTCGCTGTATGTAAAGGAGAACTGGATCGATCCACTGCTGAGGTAAGCAGTCAGTACTTAAGGAACCTGTGCTCACCTCAAGAGTTTAAATGCAATACAGAAACCTTCTGATGAAAATTCAATTTGCTTTTAAGGTATTTTTCCCAATTAAGTCACTGAGAACCTTTCTTGTCTTCATGAGACCATAGTAATCCCTTTTAGTTGCCCAGAGGCAAGGTTCTCTCATAGAGAAGTCCCTCCACAGCTGTTCTAAATTAGTTTCTTATTGCCCATGAATAGATCAAACATTGCACTAGCAGGTTCATGTTCTCTCAGGGAGCGAGTCCAGTCTCATAAGTCACTTCAACATCTGTATGACATTAAGAACATGAAAAAGAGCTTGGCTTTGTGCTCAGATTTGTTTAAGCAAGCGGTTGTAAAACCCCTTCTGAGCAAATCAGATACGTGTGTAAACAAGTATTTTTAAATTATTATTCATGTATACAGTTGCAGCATCACTTAATGGTTTAAATGCTTGATGGGGCCAGATGTGACCACACATTGCTTTGGTGGAGAAAGACCAGCATGAATACCTTTGCTAAGCTGGAACATTTTCACATGGAAGAAGAGTACCTGTATTTCAGTTACTCAGCAACTTGTGTCACTTTTTAGCTCTTGTTTTCACTCAGGGCAGATAAATTAAAGCTAACTTGGGTACAACTGGGTGGCTGCAGTCACATCTCCTCCTCACTCCAATAGAGATTACCTCAAATAATGGCAAATGCTGTTAGACAGAACTGTTATAAACAGTGCCAGCTGAAAAAGAATTTGTGTCTAGTTCTATAGTATCAGTCACTAGAATTAACCCTGTAATACCTTACAGAATATGTGAAATTAGTAAATGTAATACTACAGATTGGGCTTGAAATACAACTCCACTGCACACTACAATAATTAGAGACATACCTGAAGTTAGAATTTGGCTCAATATATTCTTGTGTAATAATTATTATAAAGTATTCTTACAGCAACAATATAAAGATGCAGAAATACAGAATAGCAGTGTTATCTGTTGCTTGTGTTTCATTAATAGTAGGCTTGTGAGAACTGTCATTTGCACACAGTCCCATTCAGTATAATAAGTACACATTTTGCCTACAAACAAATGTAAGTTGTACAAGAATGTTAAAGACCTGACTTTGTTACTAGAATTGAAACCTCTTTCAAGGGTCTGAGGATGCACTGGTCAGTTTAGTTACTTCAGTAGCTTAAATTCATTGAAATATGAGGTTGATATAAAAGCCTTGTTACTTTCAGAAGGTACTCATAAGCCTCATCCCACAGTGACAGTAGTGGCTAAGCTAATACTCACATGAAGAAGTCACAATAAATTTAATGATTTTTACATTTTGGGAAAACTCCATTGCATGTGTAATACAGGTTGAACAAATATAGAGGCTCAATAGCTGATATTAAGCTGTGAACAAAATCAGCCCTGTGATAGCTTGTTTGTATGCCACCTTGAATTCAGTACCTTCCTGTCATTCCTGGGAAGAAGTTTGAACCGTTATATAGTCGAAAATCCAAACACAGAGAAATCAAAGTCATCTCAACTGCCCTACAGGCACCAACTTGTTTTGAGGATTCATTTGCTAATTCCACCAAATTCCTTACGTCATTCTATTTGTTGTTTTTTTTTTTAATTTGACCTGCATGTGCTGTGAGATTATATGTGCATACTCTGTCAGATGGTGACAGTGGTAATACTGAGACCTCTGTCTGTCCATATTCTCTTCATCTATATTTACTCTGCTTCTGAAAGCCTATCTGCTGTTTCATAGCCATCTTGTTGCAAAATAAGCTGGCAACACAGTTGCTTATTCAGAAGAAACTGGCTATTTTATTTCTGGACCAGCATCTACCAAGAGGTGGAATAGCACAATCCAACTAAATCATAAGTAGAAATTAATGGGTTTATAGGAAGAAAACAGTGGTGTAAAGTGTTACAGAATTCACACAAGTGTCAACTGCAAATACTGTATTGTAAGTACAATAGAAAAAAAAGAAACAGAATTTAAAAATCTTTTTTTTCTTTTTTTTGAAGATGGCAGCCTAAAGTACAGCAGCTGATAGAACAACTTGCAGATAAGTTAAGCAGTCGTACTACTGACGTCAAAATATCAACGGTCACTCAGCCAAAGGAATTTAATTTGACTGTTCCCAAGCCACGTGCCATTCCTGTACCTCTGCCAATACAAGTGCTGGAAAAAAGTCCCCCTGTGAGTTTTTTTATGCTTTGTGAGACACTGTGGTTTGTGTGTTCTTGTGCACAAAATCATGGTAAGCAATTTAATGGCCTCTTTCAAAATAATTGTAGAAAATCTAGAACCTTTGACAGACGAACAAGAATTCATTTCAATTTCAGTGTTACTGAAGGTCAGATTCCTATAAAAATAACCAATGCTTTTCATTTCAGTGAATCTTGCATAAGCAAACTGTAGACCAAATAAAGGAAAGGGGAATGGTTGTTTTCTACAGTTGTTTTGCATCTTTTGGAGGTAGAACTACACAGTGGATACACATTGATGAAAGTACAATATAAAAATTTGTGGTAGTCCTTGGATTTGTAAAATGCTTGCTTTGGATAATGCAATGAAGCAGATAAGAAAAAATATTCAAATGAAAAAAGAATTATAAACTAGCAGGATATTTTAGATGAACTTGTTAAAACAAATAGCAAAGCAATTTCAGTGGAGATGAGATGGACTCCAGTTTTGCAACTGGGGTGGAATTTTATTTCTCACTATTTGTTTTATTGTTGAATCTCTAAATTTTCTTTTTTCTGTTGAAATTTATTGCTCACATACAAATGAGAGATGAGTTTGTCTTTGAAATGGTAAGCTTTTATTTTATTTATTTTATGTTCAAGATTCTGGTTCAGTCATAGTCATACAAATCAGAGATGCACAGTTGGTTTTAAGTTAAGGCAAACAGGATTTGGGATTAAGTTGCTCTGACTAACTTAATAAAGACTCCAAAAATCATCTATATTTAAATGCAGTGGGAAGTAAGCTTGGAAGTCATTGTTTTGAGTATTATCTGCCACCTTGCATTAGCACTTCAGATTTTAAATAATGCATATGTTGAATGCTCTTAGATACCATTTACATCTTAGGAGAGCAGAGCAATTTAATGGTAGTGTGTTACACAGTTAATGGAATTTTACATTGGAACAACTTAATACTGGGCTCTGAAAAACTGCATTTAATAACTACTGAATCGGTATAAGAATGAGTCATGTTGCTGTCATTTTAATGCCTTTATGCTGTGCAGGCCCTCTTAGAATAAATTTGCTTTAATGTAGATTAATTTACTAAGTTCATTTGCATTGTTAGGGTTATACAAAATTTGGATTACATTCTGGCCTAGTCTGCAAATGCAATAGTTTGTGTGAATCCAAAACCATTAGTGCAGTGGTGACATATGACGTGCCCATCTCTTTGCCTATCTCAGCAAATAAAGCTTCACTTTGATTTGTCACATTGTTGCCAGCATCACCATTTTAGATCGTGAACATTCAGCAGAGACTGAAAAGGCAGTCCAGATGGCAAGAAAGATGTAGGAAAGTGAGAGCTCTATATTGGTTTGGATGCTGTGTGGTGGAGAGTTGTATGTTATTAAGAGGAATGCTAATATATAGAGCAAGCAATATACTTGCCTTCATGATCTTGTTATGTATAAAAACACAAGCTTTTTATAGAATAAGCATCGCTTACAACCAAAAAATAGAATTCTGGTCAATACCAAAGTTCAGAGTGCTTATTCATCATTCTGTACAATATTTTCCTCTCACACTTCTTCCTGAAGTTTATATTCTCCTGGTGTTTGACATTGCCTCATCTAACATAAGGAATTTTTACTTGGGTGCGTATTTTGTGTGTGATTAAACAAAACTGAAACAGTTTCTTAGAAATGGTTTGGCATTCTCTGGATATTTGCTTCTCTGCACCTTTAAGGCACTAAATAGCCCATGTTGGGTCTGGAGTTTATCCAGAGCTGCTGTCTCAGGGCCCCATAGAAAAGCCTGTCGTTCTGTTTCTTTCTGCACGGTGTCAGCTCAGTGATATGTCATGCCATTTGGTTCTTCCTTAAAATTCTCATGATGCCTGCTCCTGAAATAAACCTCTGGTAGAAGCATATCCAGAAACCGTGGGTGAATCTGACCACTGCTAGATGGGAAAGGCAAGCTTGGTGTGTGTCACTCCCAGCCTCCTTTTTTTGTACTAAAGAATTAAGTAGGTACAGTTTGGCCTTTCCAGTCTCTCTATTGCTGGAATTTACAATTTGCCTATAGTGATGTAATCATCCTCTTCTGACAACTGCAAGTTGTTTATTATTAGAAAGGGTAATTGCTCTGTTGTCTATCTGTCTGCCTGATTGGTAATCATAACCATGGTATCTGAGGGCTAAATTACAAGGCTAGGATCATTTCTGAAAAAGCTGATTGAAAAGTCTCCTCCTTAAATTACTTGTAATATGGACAGCATTTTCTGTGGACAGATCTTCAGCTTACACTGGCAGATGATTGCAGTTTTGGAGGTAAAGCACATGATTGGGAAGAGTGAAATAAACTGATACTTACTGCCTGTGCAACTCTTTGCAAATCCTTTGGGCTTTAATTTCTCCATCCATAAAAGCATAATAAAAAATTGTAGATATTGCTGGGAAATACTTTCAGTTCTACTTCACTTAAAAAGCTCACAAAGATATTGAGTAGTCTCACCCATGCATTTAATTGCTGGCCTTTTCTATCTGTGCATTTGTTTTGCCTGTAGATAATGATGTCAGGTAGCAAAGGTGATGGAAAGTACATCAGTGCCATGAGTTTTTCAGAGCGTAGCTCTTTATATAGTCCAGTAAAACCAGATGGGATGCCCCCATTGCCATTACAGATTTTTCCCATTAATTCTTGAATTAATTTTGAAACCTCTATTGGAGGTAGAACATTTTTAGCAAGATAAATATTTAAGCAGATGTCCTGTAAGCTGGTAGACTGTCTCACCCACACAGGAAGGAGACATCCAGTCTTTTTACAGATTCTGCTTAAGCAAATACTGAAATCCCTGAGAAGCTTCAGAAGTAATGAAAGCCATGCAGCTCCTGTTCCCCTCTTCTGCCTAGTCTTCTGCTCAGCCATAGTATAGCCAGACTGTATGTTTTTCATTTCATCTGTAGCATTTCCTGAATTCCTGTGAATTCTTGCCCAAAATTTCTGATTAAGACTGAGTCTTCTACCTCCAAACATTTAAGCTACATCTCCAATTATATCGTTTTACAAAAGTACATCTTGGCAGGCTCAGCAGACCAAAGCAAAGGCTTGTTTTGCCCAGTGTGTTTTCTCCAGCAGTGACCAAACATAGATGTGTAGGAGGAGCACACAGAAGAGACAAGCTTAACTGCTGCTTTCTCCAACAACCTTCTCAGATTCCAAACATTTCAGCTCAAAGAGTTCCTGCAGTTCCTGGACATTTAATAACCTGTGAAATATGTATCTTCCCTCAACTTTGGCCATACCCTGTGCCAAAGTGCCTCACCTTTTAACTTTTAACTGCTAAAAAGCTCAAGTTTATAAGATGTCAAACAGAACTTTTTCATTTCTAGCATCTGCTTTTCCCCCTTCATAGGGCCTATGGTGTTCTTTTTTTTTTTTTAGCCTTTCCTATACTTGTTTCATGTTTTTCTTTCTTTCTGGTCCATTGTCCAAGTCTTGTCTTATACTGGACATGTCTGAAAAGCTTGGGTGGTCCCAGCTAATTGGAATCTGTCCATGGCTTCTGTGTTGGCACTAATAGAAAATAAACAATATTTTAAAAATAACTGCAGCTGATTTATAGTGGAGATGAACGCATTGTTTTCATTGCAAGGCTATATGACTTTGAATGTTTTACATTCCATATTGTGGATATTATTGCCTTTCTTTTAGGTCCCTCCAAGCACCTACAAGCCTCCAAGGGAAAAAAAGCAACTGGAGAAAATCAAAACAAAAAATCGCCAGAAAGCAGAAGTAAGTATATTATGTGCCTGTTATGTTCTTTTCTTTCTTCTAATCATTTGTTCTGCAATTTGTACCAGTTTTCACAAGTCATCGAACTCTATCTGAAATATTTTTTCTTTTGCAGCTAATAACTTCTGGCTCTTTCCCCAGAGTCATGAAGTTTATATTCTCTAATCTGTTCTATCACCCTTTGTTCATTTTCATTTTAATATTAATTGTCTGGATGTAGGTCCACCTTTTATTCACAAATAGGAATTATACGATAGATTATGCAAATAACTAGGAAAGGCAGTAGAAACTCAATTACTTCCTTTTCTTCACAAGCTAAAAATTGTTTCTTTTACTTCTACAGTACATGTAGGTATTTAATACATTCACTTAATAATCAAGACTTGAAATATGAAATATGTTCAGACTTGAAATATGAAATATGTTCAGACTTGAAATATGTTCAATACTTTCATCTGCCTTCTGTAGTAAATGATAAATAACCATGTAATTACTCAGAATTTTAAAATATCAGTAGAATCTAACTTCTTTTTCACACAGACTTCATTCCCTTTCCTTCAGTGGACTGAGAGAGTGGGAAGTCATCACAATTTGTAAAGAAGCAGAGTACATGGTCTGTGTGTTAAAAGAGCGGGAGAAGGGAGTGTCTGATAAGGGCCCTCATAGAAAGAGACATCCAGATATTTGAATTGGTACATGATCTGTGTCTTAAGAGAGCAAGAGAAGGGAGGGTCTGTTTAAGTGCCTTCACAGAAAGAAACAGTTCTAGCTATTTGAATTGATCCAATCTTTGTTATGAAGCCTGTTCGTCAGGTTAGCTCCTATTATGGTTAAAGCAGATTACTGTCTTCTTCTCTTTGGAAGGGAATTAATCAAATGTCAGTTCCCACTTCTTTCTTTCTGCCCACACTGCAATCACCATATCCGATCCAATCACAGGAGAAGTTTGATAAAACGTGTGCTATTTGACTTGTTTTTATCTGAACTCTCCCACCTCCATTCTCCTTACTCTAACTTTTAGTAGCTAGTACTCATACAGAAGCATTTATCACTGTTCTGGGCTCTCCTGATGCCCTTGTGAAAGGGGCATTGGATTTTGTTCCTAAACTACAGTAAAAGCTACAATGTGATAAATTCTAGGGGGAGACATTTTGCGTTCCTTTTGCTGACCAACCACATTACCAATGGTTGGTATTTTATTATCAAACAGTACTGCATTATTTTTTATCCTCTGATTATTTCCCCACTGTGGAGAAAGCACACATCTACTTGTCTATGTGCTTATTTGTACGTATGAACTTCCTGGAAAATCTGTGGAGGAAAATCAAGATATCACAGTGCCTATATTGTCAAAACTCTATGACAACTATAAAATCACTTAAATACCAGCCACATTCTTCGGTGAAGTAAATGCATGAATACAAGGAACAAAAGAAAACTACCACAGAAATTATAGCTGCAATAACAGCAGTTTTTGTTGCCTCCGGAACATTATAAAAGGAATCCAAAGCATTCACAAAGGTCACTTCCCTAGACTCTTTGCTAAACAAGCTGAAATGTTGGGTCCTAAAAGAAAATGCCAGTTGTTTTGTAGCATTTTTGTAATAGCTACAGCTGTAAGTACAAAGTCTGACCAGCTGTGAAAAATGGGGTGGGAGCACTAGCAACCATACGCTAGATGATTATAAAAGTGCTGATACTATGGACAGCTGACCACAAGAAAGACATTGGAAAATCCAGAGTGATTTGATCAGAAATTACAATGAAAAGAAATATCTAAAAGCAGGAAATGTGAATGCTTGTTCTTCCCCTCCCCCCCGCCATTTGAAATGACAGCTGGAATTACTGTTATGGATATTGGAGCAGTCATTGATGCTCAGATCTTCTGATCACAGCCTTCTTATTTAACAGAAAAACAAAGCCATTTTTCATTGGCTACGTGGAAACAGAATCTGTGAAACTGATATGCTGTAGATGACTATGAGGATTTTAAGTAAAAGTTTAAATGAGCAACATCTTTCACATGGGAAGACCAAGCATGACGTCTGGTGCCCTGTGCAAAATTTAGAACCCATTAAACACATGTAAACAACATATGTAGAAACTAGAAATGTTTCATGAAGAATGACAATTCAGATAAATAGTAAGTCCAGGTTTAGAATCATCAAGATTGCAACAGACCTCCAAGATCATCTCATCCAATAGTTCACCTACCACCAGTATTTCCCCACTAAATCATATCTCTTAGTACCACATCTAAACATTTCTTGAACACCTTCAGGGACAGTGACCCAATCGCTTCCCTGAGCAGTCTATTCCAGTGCCTGACCAGTCTCTCAGAGAAGAAATTTTTCCTAATATCCAACCTGAACATCCCCTGGTGCCACTAGAGGGCATTCCTCTGGTCCTATCACTAGTTACGTGGGAGAAGGGGCCAACCCCTTCCTCACCATAACCCCCATTCATTGGAATTAGTATATTGTCTGTGCTGCAGGGTTTTTTTCAGACAGAAAATTAATAGAGACTATGAATGTACCATACTTCTAAGATAATTGTTTTTATCCTAGGATCTGCTTCTGAAAGCAAACACTAACCAGTTCAGGTGTGCGGCCATGAAACCTGAAAAAGCAGAGGTATGCTACAAAATACTTTATTGCTTAAATATCTCCAAGTATGAAGATGAAAATAACAGTTGTGTAAAGATATCTCAAAATATTTGAGAGTTTTTGTTTATTTGGGGCTGGGAATTATGTGTTGTCACTTAAAACTGTGTTGTCAGTTCACATCCTTATTGTTTTCAGATCGTAGAGCAGCCATACTGACAGTTGCCTCTTTACATTTATAATGTGCAACCCCCTTTTGTTCTGGTCCTGCTATTTTATTCTCCTGATTCTGAGACAATGAGACCTCCATGATACTACTCCAACAAGTCTCCAAACCAGCAATATTCTTCTAAACCTAGTATTTTTGCTTTAACTTTTAAGGCCACAGATCAATCAAGCTGAGGCAGTAATACTTGTTTTCATATGAAATTCTTGCTATTGTTGATTCCTAATTTACACCTCTGTCACAAACTACTTATATAATATATTCATCATATCTGCATATTCTATTCACTGTGTTCATCCTTATGATGTGTAGACACTTTTTTGCCAGTATCACTCTAAAATGAAATTAATGACCATCAATAGAATTTGAATACTGTAATGATTCCATGAAATATCCTCTGACACCACATTTTGTCTTCCCAATATCTGTTTCAGTTAAGAGCTGAATGCCTTCATGGTTGACAGGTAGAATTCAATAGGCAAATGAAATGTCACTGTTACTTCATTGGCATTATTCTAGTCAATAAAGGTTATAGAAATAAAATAATAATCTTTGTCATAAGTTTTTATTTGGACCTACATTTGTATGGTCATTTGATATGAAATATTACCAATGTACTGAGTGTACATAACAAGTTTTGAATGTATAACAAGAAAATATATATGCTGTGATCAATATATATGCTGTGATCATATTTGTTGCTCTAGCTGAAAACTCAGGAATGATTTTCAGTACAGAGCTAACATTGTTTGCTGAGTATTTGAAAATATCTCTCTGAAAAGGAAAAATGTGATTTTAGTTTGAACTGCAGAACACACAGGACAATATGAAGAGCAGGCCAGCTTTCCAGGCTCAGAAGATCCAAAGCAGGGTGAGTAATGTTTTAGATCCCATTGATAGATATGCTTGCAATTTTTTTGAGTGAAAAACACAGATTTTTTGGTGGTGCAAAGTCTAATGGAATCTTTAGTTTTATGTCATATTCTGTGGCCAGAATGGAATGGATTAGATTTATGGTTTACATGTTTAGGCCTGTGGACCTTTAACAATTCACAAGGAAATGGTCAGCGAACAACTGGTGAGTGGCTACTCCAGGAGGGAAGCCAAACTGGAAGCCAAGAGTAACAAAAGCACAGGCAGTGCCACACCATTCAGGAAAAAGGTTACAGTATCTGCCCAGGACAAGGCAAGGCTGGTGGTTGTAGTGACAGGCTCTGCTGACTGCCAATCATCCTTACACAAACAATGAAATGGGAGGTCTGGAGTGCACTGAGGAAGACCAGTTAAGAAACAGTGCTACATCAATGCAGGTACATACTGGAAGTCCAGTAAGGACAGCCACATACCAAACTGGAGAGACAAGGAGCTGAATTACTTCCAATGTAACAGGAAAGCACTGACAACCCCCCACTGAGTTTAAATGGGATCGTGGACTAATGGGCAAAGGGTCTGAGTGGAGCTTCTAGGCAAGGCTGGCCACAGCAATTACAGCCTGTTAGATCCCTCAGAACACTGACAAGTAAGTTGTCTGCAGTTGCAGCATGAAACTATATTGCTTTAACCATGTTTTCAATTCCAAGTGGAGAAATTTATATGTAAAATGATGAGTATTAAGAATAGCCCACAGGGATAAAATAACTGAACTAATGGCTTAAAAAGTCAGCACAGAGACAGAAGAATCCTACAACTATGAATGACTATTTCAAAATGAGACCCTAAAGAATGCTGAGCACTGACTCTGGATAATGACTGCCTGATATGCAATACACAGTCCATCTGGTTATTTATCTTCTGCCCTTTATACACATACTTAGGTCATAAAATCCACTAAACTGCATGTTTCTCTGCTAGGATTTGCAAGGCTCAGAGAATTGTAAATACAGAAAATTTGTTCTACTCTTGGTTGTATAACACATGAAAACTCACATTGCCATCTCTTTGGTAGTTATGCTACAGATAATCTTCAGTCTTACATCATTCAATCAGTCACCTTTCATTTAAATTCATATCCAGAATAGTTAAATGTAGAAGTTGTATTTGTACTGTCACCTTAAAAACATTGTGAGCAGATCTACCTACTTTTTAAAACTGTATTTAGATACAGTTCTTACAGACTTTGGGAAGTCTGGTTCCCTTCTTGAAAACTGGGTTTCTAGTAAAAAATTCTAAGGAATATCTGGCACTAATCACATACTGAAGTTGTCGTTAATAACAATATCATCTTCTCAATCTGCTTTCTAACAATCTAAGACCATATCAATTATGGGAAAACAGTCACATCCCAGTTTCTTTTGCCCTCAAAAGAAAAAAAAAGTCCGGAAACACCTGCACAGATAACCCAAACATACGACCTGTGACTATGTGAACTTGGTTCAGGGTTATGTATATTCCACTTTTGTCTCTCATCATTTAAAAAATTGAAACCTAAGTGCCAACTCAGAAGAGTCAAGCCATCTGCCTAAATCACAGAAAGAAAAATGTGGATCTAGCATCTTACTCTATTGATCAGGATTTCTAACACCTCTAGTGTCTTCTCTGGAAGTAAATCAGTTTTATCTCGTCTAAATACATTTGCCATAAAAGTTAGATAGATAATATTCAAGAAGCTGCTATAACTTTTGAGATAGGTATCTTGTTACTGACTTTCAAAATACTTTCCATTCCTTTTGCCTACCTATCCATGCATCATAGAGAAAGGTTTATCCATTATGTGTTACAAAGAGTATAATCTATCCTCAAATGAATGACATCACATAATGCTTTAACCAACTATTGTGTTCTTTTTCTCTTTTTAGGACACTCACAGTATGTTAAATACATTTTTTCAATTCTATCAAACACACTTACTGTGTGCACCAGCAATTATTTCTGATTGCCATTACAAGATCTCTATTTATCTTTTTCACTGCAAGAGTGAGACAGTACAAATATATCATCACTCTGTCTCAATCTGCTTCTTGCTCATATCTGGCCTTGTTCTTTCTGTATGTATTGGTTTTGGTGAGCTCCTGTGTGTTGTTGGTCATAGTAAATGAATCTTTTTCCAGAAGACACAGTAGTCTACGTTTTGCCAGATTTTTTTCTGTTTTCTCATCTTGAAAGTATCTCGCAACAGAAAGGGAATGAGAAAAATTCAGAAATTCCTTGATACCACATGAAACAGAAGAATCTTTCCAGTTATTTTACTTATACCTATCTTTACGTATCTTGGAAGTTCTAGTAATTTTGACTATATGAGCTTCATTCATACTTCTGTTTAACAACGTGAGAATCTGAAGCTAAACTTATTTTCATAATCAGACTTAACTCAGTTCTCTAGCCACATTTTACTTAGTAAATACAGAACTTGAAATCTGTTTATGCAGGTAGTCGCCAAATATATGGAAATTTCTACGTGTCAGAGAAAATGTCTACTTTACATCAGTGTAGGGTATAATACAGGCTGGAGGGGGAATGACAAGAGGAAATGTCATGTAATGCAGAACACATTGATAAGGGCTGATAGGTGGACCAAAAGGAAGGATTTAGTTAGGCACTGAGAAGAATAAGTACAGTGAGTCAAACAAAATCGCATTTTTTTTGCCATCTGTGAGGAAAACTCGGTAAATGTACTCAGTGAATTTCCAGGTGATAGCATACATTCATTTTCTTCAACAGACCTAATTAATATCAATTACAAAATATCCATTTTCCAGTTAACTTGCACGTTTCAGGAGACTGCAGTACGTACAATATTTGCAGTGTATAGCTAGAGTGATTCTGTGCATCTGTTTGTCAGCTTCTCATTAAGCTGTTAATTTGGAGTTTAAATACATGTTTGGATATTAAACAAAGAATTTTTTCTGGAGTTAGGTCAAATGTGTCACGACTAAGCTTTGTTTTCTGCAGGAATGATCCCAGTTCTTATCCTGTCTGCCCTGCTTTGCCTTCGTTCTGATCACATCTAATTATATGCATTTGCAAAGGTGCTATATTTTGTCATCTGAGCAGTCTACATATGCAAGGAATATTTTTATCTGGCAAAGAGATTGTTCCCTTCTTCATGCAGTATTTAGAGATTGTCTAGGAGTTTAGTCCTAAGGCAGTGCTCTGAAGAACTACAAAGCAGCTACAGGATCTGGTCCAAGTTGTAATGTGAAGACTGAGTCACTGAGAACTTTGCTTCCAGGATTAGAAAATGGATATGGCGTTTGGTAATGCCAGTTGTTTTAGAAATATTTTGAAGTTAAAATAGTGATCATTTGCAAAAAAAAAAAGAAAACAACACAAAAAACTTTTGAGACTTTCAGATAAGAGGCACTGCTTGTGTTTTATTTTAATGTTTTTGGTTAATTTACCTTCCCTCAGAGACAGGCACTCAAAATATTTTATTCTGGAAACAGTTTACTTCCTTTGTCTAAACCAGATGGAATCCATGCATACTGTGAACTTGAGCACTGAATAAATGAAAGGAAGTGAACATTCTAAGGGATTTGACATGGTCCAAGAGTGATTACAAATTTATAATCCACTTGGGGGACTTTGCTGATTTCTTAAGCAGCTTGAGTGGTTTATGAACAGCATGCAATTTCATTGTGAATGTCAGATTAATGCTAGATGAATGATTTAAACAAAATTTATGCTGTCTTGGGTCGATTTATTTAACCCATTGAAATGTTTTTATACTCTGTTTTATGGTTTACATTACTAACGATAGTATATACATTCCCTCTCCTGACAGATCGACAATTTACCTATTAAATTAAATGCAGCAGCTATTTTAAGGGAGGGTGCCCTCTATCAGCGAAAAATGGAAGAGGAGCTCCAGAGGTATGGTCACACATCTTCCTCAGATTATTTTTCACACTTCTTGATAAATAATAATTGACAACATTACAATAATTACACAAACTCCAGGTAAACTAATATAAAGGACCTTTTATAAGGCATTAAGAAGCTATTCTGTAAGCATTAGTGACAAACAGAAAAGTGGACTAAAATGAAAATTTACGCTGAAGTCATTATTTTGCTATAGATGATGTGCTGTGTGACTGTGCTCTGATTTTGCACTCTGGGTAGTGTCCATTTGTAAAGTCCAATAAAGATCGATTGTTACATTAGTTCCAGTTCTTCAGAATAAATAATGAGCCAAATACACATCTACCTTTGTGTCCATTATAAAAGGAGCATATATGTTAAGCATATATGTTGAATATTTCATATATTGTCTTTTTTTTTTTGGGGGGGGGGGGAGGGGAGGGGGAGAGGAGAGAGGATGAGGAGGGAATACATGCAGAGTTGATAGTTGAATCTGTTTATCTGTGTATAGAAATACCTGCCCCTTTCTATCACATTAAGGTGAATGGGAGGACTAAGACCATGCTGGTCCACAAGCTGGATGAGCAGGAGTGTGGGAGAGAACAAGGCATGCAAGGGCAGTGTCCTCATTGAGAAGCCACTCAGTCCCATAGTACGCTGGTAAGGCAGTAGAGTGGGTCCAATGAGGGGAAGCAGGGTCAGCCAGCAATCCAGCAATTGCTAGGCAAGACTATAGGGACGAGTAAGGCCAAGGCCAAGCCCAGAGACAAGTCAACAAGTTGGGTTAGCAGGTACAAGGCTGGGCTCAGGCATATCTGCAACATAGCCAAGGACAAAGGCTTCTATGTTTAAATACAGCTTCCAGGAAGAAGCTTCACAGATACAATTTTCTCAGCAGTTTTTCACACAGCTCTTCTCTCTGCAGTCAGATCCAGTGGTGCACAGCTGCACCATAACACAGCTGTGTTTGAATACAGGCAACTAAATCGTAGGGTTGGGGAATAAGATCTCGTAGGTCCATTTCATGCACATGGAACTCTGACGTAAGGAAGCCTGAGTATGTGGCACAGATTTTCAGCAGATTTTAATTGGGCTTCTGAATGTCTGCTGCAGACTATATTCTATAACTAGAAATACAGAACATTTTAACTAAGATAAAACCTGTATGGTTGTCATTTTGATTTAGTATTTTTACTAATCCACCTGACTTAGCAAGATAAGGACTAAATACTGTTGTTATTCTAAGTCCTGGAATGACTGTCTAAAGTTGAATTTGGTTTTTGTGAAAAATTTTGATAGATGGATCAGAATTTCAGCAGTAAGATTTTGCATATCACTCAGGTTGTGCTATCACCTATTTTTAACAGCTGTATATGTATACTTATACAGTTTTTCATACAATGATACATGCTACTGTTCACTTTATCTGGCAGAATTTTATTGCACTCAGAAAAGGAATAATGTTTCCCCTAACATTTTTTTTTTTATTCATCAGATGTAATGTTCAGCTGCATTTAATACACAACAAACACATAGATACACGTTGGAGAGCAACAGTAAGGCACAACACACTGCATTTTTGTGTCTGTTCCCAAGCTCTTGGCTCATTCAGTTCTTTGCTGCTGGACTTCGAGAGGCCATCTGCAGGGCTTTGTTTTGCTTTTCTCTTGACCATCCAGAAAAAATAAGAATGTGGTTTCACTTAACAGCTGAATACTTTCTTGCCTCATTACAACAGTATTATAGATTATTTAATTGGTGAAATACAAAACAGGAACAGAAATAAGCAGAAAAGTTTTTATTTCTCTATGGCAAAGTTGGCAAGAAAACTGCCAAAGAGAAAATGTATTAGTTCTTTCTACCTCTAAGCAAAATAATCCTCTGAGAAAATTTACATACCTTTGGCCTGATTCTCCTTGCTCCGTATAAGAATGTACATGTAAATAAAGTTAGCCCTGTCTTTGGGCTTTACTGTGCTGACAACTTTCACATCCATGCCTTCATACACTTTCTTACTGCCCTATTTTCCCAGGCTTTCTACCTAGTAGGACCTCTTGAACTGGAATTAAAATACATCTGTGGGATGTCCTCACAGTGACTACCTTTTTTCTCTGCAGGGATCAAGGGCTTTATGCCACAGAAAAAAAATTCTAGAAATGTGTTATAAACCAAAGCAGGGCTGGAGAGCCAGAGTATGATATACTCTCCCTTCACTCTTGCAGAATTGAAAATTTGCTACGAGGGACTGGAGACCCATCTGAATTCTTGGAATGGCAAAAGCAGATGCGTGGAAAAGATTTGGAAGAGCAGCTGGCTGAAATAGAGTGTAGAAGGCTTCAAGGGAAACTGAGTCATGAAGAGGCCATTCTAGCCCATCAGAATGTAATTCAAGAAAATAAGAAGAAAGCTGATCTAATGAGAGAAGAGGTAATACAGCTTTGTTCAAATTTTGCCTGCATTCAATTACTGCAAAATTTGCTACAGATGATGCCTATTACAAGTAGTTACAAAAGTTCTGTACAGTGTCTTTACTCACTGGAGTCTGTAAACAATGGATAAATAATGCTAGAACTTCCAGACGCTGCAATGTTTATACATTCAAGTAGTTTTCATAAGTGTTTGATTTGATTGATAGCACTTCTGAATTCAATTGAGTAAAAACAGAAAGTAGAGCATCCTTCCCAATTTTCATGTCATTATTAATATTCTTTTTGCTCAGATACTGAGATATTAGGCACCATTTGCAATGAAATCACCAATATGTGACTAATTTAATTATCTTGTTAAATGGGAGTCATGAATTTAAACAAATTTGTTTCCTTAAAAGATAAATTCAATTTATTTCATAATATCCGACATGGCTGTATGTCTCCTGGGGAAAATTCAGATAGGAACCCTCCGTTGATGTACAGATACAGAAAATGGAATACTGAAGCCAGAAAATACCTTTTAACATATTTTCCAACATGGCAAATCACATTTTCCCCAAAACATTGCTAAGTTTTTTTTTTTCCAAACTCACTTTTTTCTGGCACTTTTCTTATAAACTAAGCAAATGCTCAAGAAATAATCAAATACTATAGAATTAATAATTTCAAAAGTGGCTATCACAGGCTATGTCCACTGTTTTTCTTTTCTATTAGCTTGGTTTGTTGCTATGCCCCGTAGGCTGACCACTACTTTTCTCTTGGTCATCTTTCACAGATGTCAGTAGTGACTCTGCAATTTAGAACAGACCCACAAAGATTTTCAAGAAGTGCATAATATAAAAGGGATATTAAAATTAATTAAATTAAAGTATTAATGGGGTCCTTTTAGCTACTCTGGCATTAAGTTTGACTAGACAGACTATCAAGCAACAACTTGAAGTGAACCCTAACATGTACAACTGAACACAGTGTGGTTGCTTTCAGCCACACAAAAATGATTGTAGCCATTATATTAACCTCAATTTCAGGGATGATATTGTCCAGTGAATGCAGTTGTCTTTGCACTATTTCAGTTATTTGAAACACTCGTATCATTGGTTATCAGGAATTTTATTAACTTGTTTTTTTGGGATTTAGAAAGCAGAGCTGATGCATGAGTATGCAGAGAGATGTCTACAGGAACAGAAAGAAATGAGAGAGCTGGTGGAGAAGGTCGTGGAAGGACACAAGAATGCAAAGCAAGCAAAACTAAAGCTTCAGAAATACAAACAGCAGATAGGTATTTATACATAGCCAGAAAAATTAGATATGATGCCAAATGTCCCCAGATTGCTTTGTTTTAGAGGGGCAATTACAATTTTTCTGAAAGAAAGAGGAAGTTGTGGAAAATATCCAGGATATAAATTCCCATAAATGTATGAATATGAATTTTAGGACTAAGTTGGTAGCAGGTAGATCAGAAATTCTAATTCACTGCTTATGGGAATTAAACTTTGTTTAAAAGGGAAGAATCCAATGCTAATGTTCTGCAACTGGTTTCTCCTCCATCTAAAAGCAGCATACTTGAATGGCTGTACTTTTTGTCAAATCAATTTAGCAAGCTCAGATTCCTGTGATTCATGCCATTAAGAGAGGATTTGCCTAGCAACCTCTTTGAAAGAATCATAGCTCCAGATTATTGTCTTCTTTAGAGAAGACAGTCTGGAAGAGATAATTGTAGCTGAAGAAAGAAAAGACATCTGCCAAAAGAACAGTACCACAAAGGAGAAGGATTAGCACAAGACAGACCAGCTATTAGAATGAAGAGAAATTGTGTTACACATCCTCCACAATTCTTACATAAAATTCCTAGCTAATACATCAGTGAATGAAATCCAGGCAGAAGGCTGTACATATTCCAATGCAATACCATGTTAACAAATGTTAACACATGTTAATAAATGTTAATGGTGTACAAGAGGGCTCCCTTAAATTGTGCATATTTTGGTGAGCAGAATACTTTTCACTGCTTCACTGTCTCTATACTTGTACTGAGGGTGGCAGAAAGTGTTAGCCAATCTGAAATGGCATAGCAAAGCCTACCAAGCTTTGTGGGTCACTGATTTCTAGGATACCTACAGCTTGATAAACTACAAGTGTTTGATGTTGTATAATATCCTTTTATTTAAAGATAGAATCATAGAATCATAGAATCACCAAGGTTGGAAAAGACCTAAAAGATCATCCAGTCCAACCGTTCACCTATTCCCAATAGCTCCTACTAAACCATGTCCCTCAACACAACATCCAGCCTTTCCTTGAACACCCCCAGGGTCGGTGACTCCACCACCTCCCTGGGCAGTCCATTCCAGTGCCTGACCACCCTTTCTGAGAAGTAATACTTCCTCATGTCCAGCCTGAATCTCCCCTGCCATAGCTTGAAACCATTCCCTCTGGTCCTATCACTAATGACACGAGAGAAGAGGCCGACCCCCAGCTCACTACAGCCTCCCTTCAGGAAGTTATAGAGAGCAATGAGGTCTCCCCTGAGCCTCCTTTTCTCCAGGCTGAACATTCCCAGCTCCTTCAGCCTCTCCTCATACGGCCTGTGCTCCAGACCCCTCACCAGCTTTGTTGCCCTCCTTTGAACACATTCCAGGGCCTCAATGTCTTTCTTGCAGTGAGGGGCCCAAAACTGGACACAGTACTCGAGGTGCGGCCTCACCAGTGCTGAATACAGGGGAACAGTCACCTCTGCTCCTGCTTGCAACTCTGTTTCTGATGCAAGCCAGGATGCCATTGGCCTTCTTGGCCACCTGGGCACACTGTCGGCTCACGTTCAGCCGAGCATCAATCAATACCCCCAGGTCCATTTCCTCTACGCAGTCCTCCAGCCACACCGCCCCAAGCCTGTAGCGCCGCCTGGGGTTGTTGTGGCCAAAGTGCAGGACCCGGCATTTGGCCTTGTTGAAACTCATCCCGTTATGAAACAATGAAACAGATGAAACAATATACATTAATTAGAACAGAAATTAAGAAGAAATCATTCAAACTGTCTACTTCATGTATGTATACAATATGCTTCTATGTTGAATAGAATGATAGATAGTGGAGGTGGGAGTACTCATTTGTTTCTTTAATTGTTCCTCCCACCAATGACAGATTGTTCCTTCGAGTACCTCCAGATATGTATTATTGTCATTATTCACAAACGCATGAGTTTTTCTCCAGATGGACTACTTGTTAAAACATGCAACAGGCTAACAGAGATTGGTTCTTTTCTTTCAGTTCAGGAAGTTTGCGAAGAAAATCGAGAACTACTTCGGCAAGCTTTAGAAGAAGAGGAAGAGAAACTTAAGAAAAAATACGAATTAATTCAACAAATACGAGCCATTGAGTCTTTACCAATCCTTAAACACAAGTTTGTTGACTTAACTGAGGTAAGCTCAAAGGAAAAAAACACTGTTTTTACATTTATGTGTACTGTGTGTATTGCACACACTCATAGGAACTGTGTACTGCATGGAGATGCGTAGTGTGAAGCACAAAGTGACCCCATGAGACAAAGATTAGATCCGAAATTTTCACAAACTTTGTAAAATATTATCATGGAGAATATCCTGATGAGAAGTGAGAACTCACCACTTCTGACAGTAAGTGAAATCATAGGCTCTTTGAATTTCCTTTGAATTTTGCTGCCAGTATCTAAATTTCCAGACATCTTCCAAAAAGAGACTGCCAACTGAGCACGACGTGTGCCATCCACTTTAACAAAGTCATAGATTTGTCAGTCTTCAGTGAGGACTGACACAAGCACAAAGTGCAAAGTGATGTGTAGTTGCTCATATTGCAGCGGTGATTGCCACAGTAATTGACAAAATTAATTTCCTGTGCTTTTAAAACTTTCAACATTCAGGTATATGAAAGAGATTGTCTGGAAAACCCAAAACCTGCTTATCTGTTGTGCATGTACTGGGCAAGTGACTTGTGAGTGCATATGTGATTAACTCCATGTAAATGTATCCCAAACTTCCTGAACTTACTATTGATTCACAGCTGATACACCTGATTGGTCACTTTTGCAGAATTCCCAGATTTACATGGCATCCAGAAATCTCTTATCTTACCCCTAAATCAAAAACAGTATCTAAAATATACTCCTTCATCTTCCTTTCCTTTCCAAACTGAAAAGAAGGATAACATAGAGTAATACAAAATGACCTCACCAATTGTAAATGTGATCATTTTGTTTTTTTTACCTGGATTCAATCAAAAGATGTTGGCTGCAAAGTCGTAAGATATAGTCTGCAAAGATGAAACAGTTCAAAGAGGTTGCATGTGGAAATGTCATTACTTTTTTAATCACAGCAACTTCTATAAAATGGTGCAGGCTCTCACTGAGGAAAATGAAGGTGATTGGAATGTCAGTACTTTCTTACTTTCAAACGTAGTTAATTTCATTGCCATATACGTGGCTGCCAACTTGACACAGAGCTTCCACTGAAATTCTGTTTGCAACTAAATACATGCTTTAAAGTAAATTTCCCATCTAGCTCTTCTCAAAAGACAAAGTAGAAAAGCACAATAGGTTTCAAGGCATATTTAAAAAAACTCAACTGAAATCAAGCTTATGCATTATCTACAGTAACTAAAGTGTAAGGTTGCTGAAAGTAGGATGGCCATACAGGTCATACTGCAAGTGCAAGAGAGTCAACCTGAATGATATCTCAGCTCATTTTACGATTCACTTATACCACTATTACAATGGTTCTCAGAGTAATTTAGCATTCTTTTGGTGATGGCTTGCCCTACTTGTTCTTTTTACAAAAGATGTTTATAGGCTAAGTGAAATTAAGTATGTATTCATAAAATTCACACTACTTCTCAAAATTGTTAAAGTACCCAGTTCTTCCCTTGGTGGCACTTCAGTTTCTCTAGTAGCAGCATTACTTACTGCACAAGTATAGAACTTTTCTTATTCTAGGAATCATTTCACTGTCTTCATTGGATGTTTTTGGAATGCATGTGCTGAAAGTATTCATCCCTACCGTTATATTGCTTCTCTTTCCTTAATCTTTTTGGTGTCTGCTTACCATGCTCACATACAATCACTGGTATATATGCCCTGCTGCAAAACAGTTTCCTTTCACCTTCTGTGAATACAGTTCAGCAGTCACTAAGTAGCTTAAATTAGTGGCAAGGTATTTAAAACTGAATTCATTTCATACCAAATTTCACTCAAAACTGAAATCTCAGGAGAGAAATAATCATTTTCCTTTTCATTTAGTTATGGTGGTACATATTTATGAAGAAGTTGCAAAGAGAAGATTAATTGAATTATTCTATTACTCTTCTTCTATGCTACTCCTGTACTCGTGTGTACTTGTGTGTACGTGACCATTGTTTAGGTCATGCTTGGTAAACATGAGGAGTGTGGAAGCAGAACCCATGGAGCCAAAACTGAAGAGCCAAACTTTAGGTAAAAAACAGTGAGTGATGACTTATTCCTATTGATTCAACTTTTGAAGATTTAGAAAGAGAAGCTGTGGGGACCAAAACCACAGGAGAAACTCTTGGAAATGTTGGAGGACTCCACAGGTTCCTTCCCAAGACTCACTGGCCTTCACTGATGAGTTTGCATCATTAGGTCTCCAGACTAACTCGATAATAAGCCCTCTAAAGCACCATTGTAGCAGCAGACAGATAAGTCTGTTTCTGTGATACTTGGTGTCTTGCAGCCAAACTCACAATCTGAGTATGTGTCTATAACAGAACATCTCTCTCTCTTCCTGGTCGTTGATTTTTTTCCCTTCCCATTCATGTTCTATTTTGTGAAAGTCAAGTTGTACTCTGTCAGCAAGCAACTCAGGATTCAATACAAGGGATTGTTTTTCTGCTGGAAAGGATTACTTGAAAACACATGAGCTCTTGAGCTGAAGAATTTCTCTCCATTAAAATGACTGTAGTGAGTTTTACTTACATATATTTATCATTACCACTTATGTTCTTATGTTCAGATTTAGAAATAACGTTTGGAGGAGTGGTTGTCTGTTTGTTTTGCCTTCCTCAAATTCAGCCTTTCCAAACTTTGTCATTCATTTTCCGTGGAACTAATTAGATCAAGGCCATTGTGATCAAAATCTTAACCAGTGTTTCACTCCTAATACTTTGCAACTGTATAGAAAGAGTTTGGTAAGCATCTTGATGTCCTGCACCCATGCCTTCCATTGTAACATGCCATAATACCAGATCCTCATGAAAGATGTGTACCAAAAATATGTTGTTAAACAACAGAATATTAATTGCTGTGAAAGGGATGAAATTTTGCAAAGATGGATCCAGAGTAGATCAGTATTCATATATATTTGTGCAAATTTTCCTATCTGCAGATGTATTTATGTGTAGATTCAGGGAAAGGGAGAGTATACATAAGGGCTGAAAACTTCAAGTGTACACAAATCTGTTTAGAAATTATCTGTGTTCACATGAAAGCTGAGGTGCTGCTGTCTCATTACGTCTTATAACAGGGCTCACTGTGAATTTCATTACAAAGTGAATTTTTAAAAGCCTTCAATTCAGATTTGAATATTTTGAATTTGGGCATTAAGTTTTCAATTTTCTGAGTATAGAGCATTGCTTACTCCTAGTCTTTTCAGATAAAAATGATAGATGTCATCATAGTTCATATCCGTAGTTTGGATGTAGATGAATACAAAAAATGCATATTTTTGAGTGTAAAGTCAGTTTTGGTTTTACCAAAATAGAAAAGATGCAGTTTTACAGATTTCAAAACTTTAAAAAGCTTATTAAAACTAAATGATAAGTCAAGTAGAGTTTTATTGTACAGCAAATATGTTGTGTTTTTGTTTATTCTATTTTTCAACATTTTTTCATGAAATGTTTTGAGAGCCTTGTGTTTTTACACATACAGAAGATGATCTCAACACGTTAAAAGCAGCTTGTAAATAGCAGTTAGGTCAGAGTCATCCCTGTCTTTTTTGAAGTCAAAAGATATTCAGCATGATTTGGAACACAATCAAAATACTGTGATTGTACTCATTTTCTCTCTCCTTGCCATTTACAGTGTTATTTAAATCTATACTTCTTATTTCCTAGACTGGTGGCCATGGTTTAATTTGTGAAATGTCAATAGTGGAACTACGTGAACGCCTCGCACTGCTTAGAGAAGCACAGAAGGCAGCAGAGGAAGAGAAGAGAGACCAGATAATTCAAGATAAACAAGCTAAGGAACAACTTCTTCTAGATAAACTGGACCAGATTTCCATTTTCAGAGCAGAACTTGGACGAGCAGCTGCATTAAAGTCAGTATAAAACAGTATATGGCACTTAACACACTGAAACTTTGTTAATATTTTGCTAGTTCCATGAGAAGAAAAACAAGTCAAGAGCAAAATTCAGCCCTTTCATAAAGCAATGTAGCTTTTGTCAAAGATTACACTGGGACCAAGATTTCTTTTTACTCCTGAAAATAATTTGCATCAAATTTAACAAATCTTTTTCATAAACTTGAATTTATGGTTGAAGACACTGTATTCAGCTAGTATTGAGAGTACTGTGCTGGTATTCAGAGCCAAAAATGTGTTTGAGAAAAAAGCTCTTTCTTCTGCTCCTTTTTAGTTAATCAGAACTGATTTGATTTTGTTATAATCATTCTTACTTGCTACTTAAAGAGGTTTCTCATTTTCATCTAAACCAATATATTAGGGCTATAGTTTTCTTCTTTGAACTTCATTTGTGATGTGAAAGAGCAGGCATTGTTTTAGAAGATACTTTGAGGGAGATTTTCTGATAGTAATAATAATATATAAATTAAATATACTATAGCTATAGATCAAAGAGAAGAATCTTTGCTTACAGGCTCTCTGATCAAATTTTGTATTCATTATGCATATTTATTATTAATTATCATATTTATTATTCATTGTCATAAAGGATCCATAACCATCATAGGTGGTTACATACATAGAAGACAGATCCCATCCACAAGGAATGTAAAATCTAAGTTTAAATTATTTACAAATAAATCTGAGCAAGAGGAAAGCCTGTGTAAGTGTGTAAATATGGATCACCTCTTGCTCTCATGCCATTTTTACTGCATCTTGACTGCCTTTTTTTCTTGCAAGTTTTCTTTCACCTCTTCTCTCCTGTGACTTTGATAGTTTACTTCTTGTTTTGCCATATTTATTTTTGCAAATAGATGTTCAGTTTGACATTCTGAAAACATATTCTATCAGGCTAAAGCTATGCATCTTTAGACATGTTTTAGATTTGTGTTTATCACTTAGATACCAAAGGTGGCTTCTTAGGAGTTCAATTCATGTTATTGATCTATCTTCCAGTTCTAAATCTCAATAACAGAAGGCAGTATTGATGTATTCATTTAACCAGTTTTCACTGGTCCCTGCTCTGATTTGGTTTGTAGCTGATAGTTAACCTCCAAAGAGTGAGGTTTTACTGTGTTAGTACTTTAGAACTTATTTTAATGAGGTTAGTGAATCAATAACTGCAGCTCCAGTGGATTGACTGCACAGATCAGTGACCTTCTCTTCTTTGTCATCTGTGGAGAGAAGACTAAAGGACCTGCAGTAGACTTTGAGCTGAAGACAAATTCCCATCTCAAGCATTCAGTGTTATGTGAAATCCTGTGGGAGCAATTCAAGTCATTGCTTGCCACTGGAGATTCAAACCAGGCATTAAGAACTTGTATACTACATAAAACCCATTTCTCTAGTAAGAATTCTAAGAATAACTTGTTGTGGTAGATATGCAGTGTGTACACACTGCACACAGCTGGGTTTCTTTAAAATAGGCTCTTTGTCTTAATTCAGAGCTAAAACCTTTCCAATCCTGAAATAAGCTATGCTGGAATGTGAAGTTAACGTGGATTTGTCCTGACATATTTGAGATGTTATTTAGAACAGATGACCATGCCAATGATGGTTTCTGTTCAGACTCATGATAAGGAATACAGAAATATATTTTAATGGAGACCCATTTGTTTTCCAAATGAAGGAAGTACAAATTTTCAGTATCAGTTTTACAAGACTTTTCTTTTCATGCTTCCCAAGCACTTTAGGTCACAACTTGGAAGCATTAATTATAAAGAGGCATCACAACATTGTTCTTCAGGAATGCCTTTAATGCTTGATCATCTAGAATGCAACTCTGTGGTAGTATTTCTGTTAATACACAGCATGCTGGCATACTTACGTGTGCTAGACTTTTTGCTGCAGCTTTCATTTTTCTCTAAACAAACCGTAGGCTTTGTGCCTTAAACCTATTTACAGGTATAGACTCTCAAAATACCTATCAAGTCAGTGTGATTAATTGCTTAAATTGTATTGATATACTGCACAAGAGATATAAAGATCAAATTATGCTTACAGAATTAATTCATAATTATAGGCATAGCAAATCTTACTAATGGTGCTCACAGATACCACTGTGCATCAACACAAAATTACATATTATACCTGCAACTGTCTTATGTCAAAGGCTCTTGCTAATCAGCCAAAGTGTAATGGCTAAGCTTTGCTAAACAGATCTGCTGTAATTAGTGTCAGCTGGAGTTTAATTGGGTCCCTACCAAGCAAGTTCCTTTCAATATCATTTACAGACATACATCAAGACAAAAGAAGCATATTGGGCAAGCATATAATGAACTATATTAAACCAAATAGGAAATGGAACATGAAAAATCACAGAAACATCAGCCTTTAATAGATTGAAAGCCGTTACATCCATCACAGCAGTAGCTTTATAAGTGCTTGCAGAACATTTAAGAATCAGTTCAGTGTATATGCAGGATTTCTCTTTAATTGCTAGAATTTCACGTAGTTTGAAAATGAGCACTGGCATATGATGTGGACAAACATTTGAGTTCTCAGCTTGAACTCAGTATGAACTCTAAAAGATTTTTGACTATTGGAATACATGCTAATGTACTACAGGCTTGTACCCGTACACTTCAGTTACAATTCTCTTTCACTCCAGTGAGGCTGTGTCTATATTGCAAGTAATTTAATGCAACAAAAATCAAGCAGCAGATGAAAACATTTGGTGCTAAGACTTCAAATCTGTGGTTTGCTGGGATTACTTTGGATTGAACCTAGCCTGGTCTTGGGTCTGCATGTTCTCACCACTAACATGGTACACCACTACCAATACAAGCTGGGGGATAAAAGGATTGAGAACAGCCCTGTTGAAAAAGACCTGGGGTACTGGTGGATGATAAGCTGGACATGAACCAGCAGTGCCCTCACAGTCCAGAAAGCCAACCGTATTGTGGGCTGCATCAAGAGAAGACTGGCCAGCAGGGTGAGGGAGGTGATCCTGCCGCTCTGCTCTGCAGTGGTGAGGCCTCAACTGGAGCACTGCATCCAGATGTGGAGTCCCCAGTACAGGAGAGACATGAACTTCTTGGAGCACATCCAGAGCAGGGCCACAGAAATGATCCAAGGGATGGAACAGGCTGAGAGAGCAAGGGCTGTTCATCCTGGACAAGAGAGCCTCTTCTCCAGGTGTGGTGACCTAGTAGTGACCATTCAGTATCTAAAAGGGAGCTACAAGAAAGAAGGGGACAGACTCTTTAGTAGTGTCTATGGTAATAGAACGAGGGGAAATGGCTTCAAGCTTAAAAGAGGGTAGATCTAGGTTAGATAAAAGGAGAAAATTTTTACAGTGGGGGCGGTGAGGCACTGGCACAGGTTGCCCAGAGATCTGCTTGATGCCCCGTCCCTGGAGACTTTCAAGGCCAGGCTGGCCCAGGCCCTGGGCAACCTGATGTAGCTGTGCATGTCCCTGCTCATTGCAGAGGAGTTGGACTAGATGGCCTTTAAAAGTCCCTTCCAACTCTAAGGATTCTATAATTCTAAGTAAACTAAGAATTCTGTACATGCTTTCCAAAAATTATCACATAATTTTATGTTATATCCAGTGAGGATTCTTCTAGCCATGGACTATCCCATTCTGAGTGACTGTTAACTTGCTTCCTTAGGAGATATGTGATATAGGGAGAGAGAAGTTGTATGAGGATTTTATGTCTCAAGTCCTACAAGTTCTTCACTGACCATCAAATTAAAATAGAGCTTGAAAAATCCCTTTTTTTTTCCCTCTCTGGGTTTCCATTAGAGTGTAATGTGGCATCTGAAAATTTATGGGGCTAGCTGCTTTTTGGAAGAGCATACATGGCTGGCAGATGACTTCATGTAGAGCAGGATTGAATATTTGTCTGATTATAGCCAAGTATTTATAATGTTAATTCAGAAGCAGCTACTGCTGCTTCGTGAAGTAAAACCTCTTGTTATTTCTCTTGTAATGGTATTTACAAGAATCTGGATTTCCATGTAGTGAAAGGTTTTGTTGCTTATTCCCACTGATGATATTTAATCACTGACTATTTATATAAAACCTTACTGTTATATTCTCTTAGATCCCCTGGAATGCAATGCCTCATTGCAATGCAAATAGAAATAACCCATGTTCTCAATTAGATTATATGGTAGAACATAATTTTTAGACTTACAGAATTGTGTTAAAAATTAAGCTCACTGTTGCAGTGTGTGACTGTATTAAGGAGGGGACAGAAGTGTTACTCCAGTAGACAACATGATGCAAAATGAGAAGCTCAGGAAGTGTCTCAGGAAATCAACTGGCAATGAGAAACCAAGCTACACTGTGCCCTTTTTTAAGAGTTCACAGTTGCATTTAGGAGTGTAGCATGGGTCAGATCTCCTGTGCAACCAATTTCTGAGGATCTGGGGAAACGTAGTCTAGAATGACTGCTCTGAAGAATACCTGCTAATATGAGGAATTTCCTCTTAGCAAAGATGAAGTTAACAAGACAAGCAAAAATATCTTTCTCAAGATGACAATAGTGTTTGGATCACTGGAATCTTGATGCAGACACTTCTGAAGGCAAACTGGTGGTTTTAGCATCAGAAGGAAAAACGCTTCTTCTCCTTTTCCCAACTCCTTGAGAATTACAGCATCACAGAAGAGTTAAGGTTGGCAGGGACCTCTTCATGAGAATAGCATGACCTATGGTGAAAACACCATGGAATAAGACCTGAGAGATGAGGGAGAAGTTCTGTTGTAAAACATTTCCAAAGGACAATCTGTCCCTGAAATTGGACCTGGCACTCACAGAGTAAGAGTTCAATAGCAGCTAACAAGGCCCCAGTGCACCCTGCTCTCGGTTATTCCAAGTCCTGTTCTGATTCCCAATAATAGCAGTTGTACTAGTGAAATAGTGACCTCGCACTCTTCAGCTGAGAGAAAACATCAGATCTAGCCTGGTGATATACTAGATAATGATGCATGTTCCTTGGTAGATCTGATGTTTACTTTAGCTCTGGATTTGGACAGGGAATCACAACTGGTCATGACACAGAACTGCAGCATGATGGCACCCAGTTCAAGGGCAGTGTTGAGGGAACAAGAAAGTTGGTTGTAAAGTAAATCACAATATAAGGTGATACAAACTACATGAAAAAAATCTGAATACATTGCACCAGCTGAATGAAAGCAAGCAAAACCAGACAAAAATGTAAACTAAAAAGACAAAAAACAGCTACAGTAGGAGGGAAAAATATAATTGAATAAGACTATCCAATCACTCCTCTCCTATGCCTTACTCATATGCTACATATGGTACCATCAATTGATCCTGTCCTAAAACCTCCACTTTTAATACATCACCACCCCATAGATTCTGAATTTGGACATCCAGATTACACAGAGACAAACATCTTGCATTTGTCAAGGAATAAATACAGCAACTGAGATGAATACTAAAGATCACGTTAAGAAAACTCCACAAGCAAAAACCTGCAGTGCTAACATAAGTTTTGCACATGTATTTTTTCTAAAGAATGTCATGTCAGGCTTGAAATATTGTCAGATATTGTCATCGTGGAATCCTATGGGAAGAAATGATTCTATACTGTTTAGTAATGCTGTTCTGTAAACAAGAAGCAAGCTGTGAAAACCACATCTATTGAGCTATGTGATTTAAACCTGTTTTCAACCAACCTGGTTCCCAGAAGCAGAAGCAAATTCATTACCATCTAAGTAACACATAATCAGATGGATTTATTCCGTAGGTTATTACTTTACATTCTCATGGCTTCTTTTTCATTTTGCAGGCAAGAAGAAAAGAAAAGAAAGTCCCAGTCTGGTGAAAGGCAAATGAAAGATGAACGCATTTTAAATCTGCAGAGAAAAATTGTAGAGAAAGCAATGGAGCGTAAAAAGCAAGCAGGACTCTTAAAGATCACCCCCCAGAAAGCCAAAACTGCATCAAGAAAGGTCTGGAAGTACATAAGGAAAAGAGCTCTGCAGCAGACCTGTTCAGAGTTTTGCTGTACTGCCAGCACTGGCAAGGGTGGCAGAAGCCATACTGGAGGGACAGTAGCAAGTCCCTGCTACCTGCATAGGCACAGTCTCCTCAAACCATGGCCTTGACCTCACCTCCCTGCCTTACATTTGGCTGCCACAGACTGGGGTCTATCCACACAATACTTACCTTTTCACTCATGTCACCACACACTGAAACAGCATCTAACCTCTGTCCCTAATTCTGTCTCACCATCTCACTACATCAAACTGGGATGCTTCCCACACCCAAGACAGGTTTCAGCTCATCATTCCTTTGATTTTAACCTGACCTTTCCTCCACCTGATCCAACAACATCAAATGAAAGCACTGACAGGTTGGTGCTTTCACCAGCCTAATGCTGGTGGCAGTGGTTGTGTTTCCTTGGCAAACATCTGAAGTCAAGTGGTGAGAACTGCTGCTACTGCCGCCCCTGCCACTGCAGTGAACAGTCATGATGGGGTCACATTTTAAAAGCTGTACCAGTCCAGTAAGAAATTAGAACTACATCTCCCAATCCACTAAAATAAAAACTCTTTACTTGTTCTGTGGAAAAGATAAAGCTGAATTCATTGAAGAGGAAAATTGTATTTTTCAAATGCACATAGTTTAAAAACTGAAACTGTGCAATCTTTCAGAGTACCAATTTTTGCAGTCCTCAGTATCCCTATTTCAAGCCACTGCATGTGTAAGTGAATGCTTACACAGAATACTAGGTCTGTTCCTTTTAGCAAATAAAATAGTGAAGAAAGCATTTCCTAAATTGGGATGGCTTTCTGAACTGAGACTTTGAACATATGCTTAATCACTTTGCTGAATGGGGTCCTGTACAAAGTAAAGGCAATAAATGCAGACTTCAAAGGCAAGAAGCTATGTAATTACAAATGTGAGACATTTATAAGATAAACAAATTATAAATTCAGACTTTTTAGTACTGATGTGGGTCTGTATGAGTGCTCCTGTGTTGCATAAAAGTGGGAAAAACAAACAAACAAACAAACAAGGCTTTTTTGTTTGTTTTTAAGTTAGATTTTATATTTTATTTTTTCATTTTTTTAGCAAAGCTTTAGACAGTTACCCTCCTAAGATGTCACAATATTTTTGTTTATGGCTTGCTTGTTGTTAAGACATCTGTAAAAAAGAAAAAAAAAAAACAAAACAACAGGATAATCTTAAGGTTACTCTAAATTACTTGATGTTTTGGTGTATCTTCTCTCAGTGCTGTTCAGCTCTGCATTTGGGCTTTGGACCCAAATTCAATTTGCATTTGAATTTGGACCCCGTCCAAATGTTATTACAGGGAAGTAGCTCAGATATGCCCAACAGCATCTTCATTCTAGATGAACTGCATATTGCTGTAAATGGTGTTAGTAAAGCTATAGGAAAAGTGTTTAATTACAGTGCAGTAGTTACCTGGCATTCAGTTTGTACCTTTTAGGTTCTTCAGTATATTGAAAAGGAGTGAGACTAAACCTGTGTACAACAGCCCCAAATCCAGACTGAGGCTTCAGTTACTTTAGGGATAGCCCTTGACGCCCAATGGGCTTGTGCTGGTTTAATTGAAAGTAACATTTGTTTGAAAATAACTATTAAAGTTCTTAATAAACAGAATTTATATTGCAATTGGGAAAACTAAGATATTTTCAGCAGTCTGTGGGGACAGAACAAGGGGAAGTGGCCATAAACTGGAGCATAGTGTGTCTGCATACCCCAGGTCTTTTTCAACACCAATATGCAAAGGAACTTCTTCACAGTGAGGGTGACAGAGCACTGGAACAGCCCGCCCAGAGGGGCTGTGGATTCTCCTTCTCTGGAGATGTTCAAGACCCCCCTGGATGCCTACCTGTGCAGCCTGCTGTAGGGGGCCTGCTTTACAGGGGGGTTGGACCCGATGGTCTCTAGAGGTCCCTTCCAACCCCTACAATTCTGTGGGGAAAAAAAATATATATTAAAAACTACCATTAATTAAAAAAAAAAAAAATACCATTGAAAATCAGTGAAAAATCAGATGAAGAAGTAGCTGTTTTCTGTTGCTTCTGAGCTTTTTTTGGGAATGCTCCCTTGTGAACCAGCTTTTAAATCAGCTAACAGCAGAGCGTGATGGAGTTTGTTCATTTGTGGCTTCAAGGATAACTTGATTGCAGAGAAAGAACACGAGGTAGTGGCAGGGGAGCAAGCCATCCCAATAGTTTTCTATCGACCACACATTCTGTGCAGTGTTGCAGCTGTGTACTTCATCATAAACTGAGCAACCCAATTGAGTTCCTTTCCATTCATCATGCCCAAACTGATGATGTTTCCCAGCCGTGTTAGCTGTGTTGCCAGCCAGACAAATTGTCAAATAAAAGTTCAGTGTATCCTCTAAACGAAACCATTATATTCTCAGCAGTCTGATCTTCTGTGTGTCATCTCTACAGGACTCTTTGCAGTGGAGCCGTGGGAAAGAACTGGAAGAGAGTCGGGAAAGGCGGTTCAAGACTCTTCAGTACGGCTTCATGGCCAGAGAAACGGACCAGAAAATGGCTGCCCACGAGGCAGCAAGAAGCGGAGCCGCAGCTTGCATCCTGCGCTCCCAAGCAAAATAAAGTACACTTGGAACAAGCCCAGGCCTGCTGGAAATCTCCCAGTGCAACTATTTGCTACAAGGTTGAATTGTAATCTTTATTTGATCTTTACCATTTTAATAGCAAAATTTGGGTCATTCAGACATAGTAGAATCAAAATGTGTTAATGTTTTATAAGGGAATTCTATTTTTCAGCTGTAATCATATATTTTTTTCTGATTAGAATGGAAAGCTGTAAGAAACCCAAATGGCCGGTGTCTGGGTAAGAATGCTGAGGTCTATATTACTGTCATCACTGTATACTGTGCCATGAGTTGCTGTGTTCACTTTCCTAAAGAATAAAAATGAGGGGGGAAAAAAAAGCAATACTTGTTTACATCAGCATTTTTTCAGCAGCCATGCTCAGCCCGAGTTCCTAACACATCATCTTACATGACAGTAACTATGTGTAACAAGATCACCAGTTTCAACACTGGTTTTAGAGGGTGAAAGAAAATTGTTTGGAAGATTGAGATGACACCATAGCCTACAGTTGCCACAGGCTGCATTCAGCAACCCAAGAGACCATCCCTCTATTTGCAGTCTTCTCAGTCTTTAAACAGTGTAAGGAGGACACAGCGTTGTTGGATCTCTTTATCAAGCTGCTTGCAGGAAAGTCAGAATTCTGTTACTCACCTAGAAGATAATTTGCCCTCTATGACAATTTCTATACTGTGTAAAACAGCTCTTAAATCACGAGACTTATTCTAGGCACAAAACCAAGGAGGATATAAATCTCAATTAAAGTCTGCACAGCAGTAAGACTACGTAATGTATTTCTATTTCAACGTGATGCCAGTTACTAAGTGTTTAATTAAGGCTATTGCAAATATTTAAATTGAAGGAAAATGCCGCTGACGTTAGAGTCAGGCAGCTACTTTTAGTGCTCCCACAACATTACATTTCTCACTTTTTACTGTAGGAAGTCCAGTGGAATTCTTTTGTTGCCATCTAGCTGTGAGGATCGTTTCCACAATCTGCAAGCTGACAAAATGTGCCTTTCATTCATTGTAAGCACTGCCGTGGTGCACTAAAGCAATGAAGGACTCATTCTCAGTAGGAAGAGATAGGGAACTTATCTCCTAACCTAGGAGAGTGAAAAGAAGGAATGACAGCAGAACTACAGAAAAGAGGCAACCATGACATTATATCTGGCAGAGGAGTGTAAAAGCTTAAAATGACAGACGGTGGGTGGCAGGGAGTTGATCTTCCTTTGTGGATGTTCAGTATTTTGTTGTGTCGTATTCCAGAATGCCAGCTCTTGACTGTAACACCTCCGTTTTCCAAAAACTAGCAATTAACAAGGCTGACACTCATGGTTCAGGATATTGCATAGCTGAGTAGTACTTCTTAAACTTTTTGATGCTGCTTGTGTTTCGAGAATGTTAAGGAAAAAGAAAAGTATTGAAGTGACAGAGAAATTTAAGAAATCTAATATACCGTACGCTCCTTCCCCCCTTCAGAATTCTTACTGAATTGTACTCAAACTGACTTATAACTATTTCCTTCTCCACGTTTTCCCAGCTTCCAAATGAAAGGGCTGAGGAATCTCAATAATCTAGCTGTGGATTCTTTACCATTGGAAGTGACACAGAGCCCTGTTCTTGTTACTTGAGGACCTGATGAGCAAATTCATTTTCAGAATTGATGTTATGAGGAATGTATAAAATTTTGAGTCTTTGAGGAAACATTCCAATATACTCCTTTTGTCCATTGCCCACTGATTTTATGATGACTGCAGATCTTGCAATAGATAACACTAAAAATACCACAGCTCCTCATAAAAAAAACATGTATAACTTGATGTTGGAGGCAGACCCTGTCTGAAGCCACTCTGCCTACGGCCACCAGAGCACTTAATATAATATTGCTCATTCCAAGAATATGCTACACTGAGACCTAAAGCAATCCAACAGAAAGCGGGCAAAGGCCTGGCAGGACTTGTTAGCTTTGAATTACAAAACCAGCTGCAGTGCTATCAGAGCTGAGTGAGCTTTGAAGCGATACAGCTGCATTCACTGCGCTGCCCCAGTGGCACAGATAACCAATGGCCGGGCTGATTTGCACACAGATAATTGGGAGTCAGCTTGTAAACACAGGGGTGTGAATAATTCATGATTCATTTAAGTGTGTGCCTCTGAGAAAAGAGCACAAGTGGACAAGACTGGTTCTTGAATACCCTATGCAGACACAAAATCAGAAACTTCTCCTGTGGGGGCTTAGCTACAGACTCGTTCAGTAAGAAAGCTCTTTTGACGCTGTAAATTTCGCATTCTGGAATCGCCTGGATAAAAGTGAGAGCCCTTGTTTCAGTGTAAATGACCAGATCACAAAACTTCATCGTGGCCTGAGGGTATAAAGATGCCCAGAATAGCTGTGGAAGAGCAGGAGGTTTAACATAAGGCTGCGTGCTGCCCTAGCACAGCCACTGCTGTGTCGGTGCTTCTTTCAGCCCTGCACCCTCATGGGGAGGCAAAGCTCGAGTGGCAGCTAGGCACCCACATCTGCCTTAAGCAGTATTTCTTTGTCTGCACGCAGAGACAGAGAGCGCTGCGTTGGTGTGGCAGGCAGAAACCTTGTGCAAGCTTAAGAACTGTTCACCCAGAAAAGGGGACAGAAGACTCCAGAAAAGCTGCGAGTGTACGTGCAGAACGGCAGAGAGGCAGGTGGGGGCGGGAGGCAGTCAGCGCAGAGCTGAGGGACAGCGGCCAGAGCAAACCTGCTGACAGCGAGGTGAGGCCGTGGAAACCGCCCGTGCGCTTCTACGGGGAGACGGGCTGAGCAGCGGGACTAATCGCGGCAGAGGCCACAGGGAACGATCCCCGGGGTCTGTGGCCGTGACGAATTTGCCCAGGAAGTGGGGGAACGCCTCCAGGGAGCAGAAGGGACGCAGCTCGGCGCGAGTCCGCACAGCCGAGGTCAGAGAAAAGCGCTCGCGGGCGGCTCCAGAGCCGAGAAACAACCGTGGCTCCCAGCGGCGCCCGGGGCCGGAAGCGAGGCGGGGCCACGCGGATCCCCGCCCCCCCGCCGACGTGCGCGGCGGCCATTCCTCGCGCCGCAGAGCGGCGCTGCAGCCAATGGCGGAAGGGCGGGGGCGAGAGCTGTTCTGCGCCGTTGCCGGGCCGGCGGCGGAAGGTGAGCGCAGCGGGTCGGGCTCGCGCCGCCGGGCCTGGAGCGGCGACTGGCTAAGGCGCGCGACTCGGCAGGTGAAGGCCGGGAGGGGGCCGCGCTTCTACGGGGCGGTTCTCGGCCGCGGTGGGGGCGGGGCGGCCGGCGCCGGGTCGGGGGGAGGACCGGGCCGCCGGACCGCGGCCGGGCGGGCGTTGCCGTTCTCCGGGGGCCCGGAGGCTGCCGCGGCCCATTCCCCGGGCGGGGAGCGGCCCGGCCCTGCCTGCGGCTCGGGAGCTTCTCGCGGCACCCGTGTGCACCGCGGCCTCCGAGCCGAGCGGGGAGCCCCGGCCCGCCGCCGCGGCCCGCGGTTGGGAACGGGGCTCGGAGCCGGCCTGCGCTCTGCGCCGTGACGCGGCGTTGCGGGCGGCGGCTGCGGGCATCCCGCCTCCGTCCGTGCCTCCGCGTCTTTCCGAAAGCGAGCGGCGGCCGCCGAGAAAATCCCGCACCGAGAGCCGCGCGCAGCCCGATCTCCCAAGCGGTCCTCGTCGCGTTTTGTTGGCGTTCCCGAAACAGATCGGGCGGCCAAATGGCAGCTCTGGCTGCGTTCCCGCGGCCGTGCCTTTATGCCTGCCGGTGGATTTGTGCGCGGTGCCCGGGGGGCGGCCGGGCCGGGGCCGCGCTCGTTCTGGCTCCGCAGCACCTCGTGCCGAGTTCCTGCGGCTCTGCGAGCCTCAGTGCGGGAATCGAGCGCGTTGAGTGGCCGCTGTCGGTGCGGTCTGGAGAAAGACCAGGGCCGCCTGTAAGGACGCCTGGGACGCACGGCTGAGGTTTTCAGGATCTCTGGTCCGGCACTGTGCGAGCAGGATGCCCAGACCCACGTCCAGGCTGCTTTTGGAACGCCGTCCTGCCAAAAAGGACCTGAGGGTAACGATGGATGGCAAGCTGGACGTGAGCCAGCAATGTGTCCTTACAGCCTAGAAAGCCAACCTGATCCTGGGCTGCACTGTGGCCAGCAGCGTGAGAGAGTTGATGCTGCCTTTCTGCTCTGTGTTTGTGAGGCTTCACTTCGAGTGCTGCATCCAAATGTGGAGCCCTCAGTACAGGAGAGACGTGGAGCTGTTGGAGCACATCCAGAGCAGGGCCACAGAGGTGATCCAAGGGATGGATCTCCCACAAGGACAGACTGAGACAGCTGGGGCTGTTCAGCCTGGAGAAGAGAAGGTTCTGAGATGACCTGATAGCAGTCTTTCAGGGGAGCTACAGAGAAGGAGACAGTCTCTTTAGCAGTGTCTGTGGTGACGGAACAAGGGGAAATGTTTTCGAGCTAGAAAAATAAAGATTTTGATTGGATGTAGGCAAGAAGTTTTTTGTAATGAGGCAGTGAGATATTGGCACAGGCTGTTGGTCTGAATGGGTTGAATGGCTGAATGGGGCCCTGAGTCCCTGATCAAGCTGTAGGTATCCCTGTTCATTGCAGGAGAGTTGGATCAAACAGCATTGAAAAGATCCCTTCCAACTCAAACAATTCTATAATTCTCTTTTTCTCCAAGGAGAAGACCCCACGCCTCTCTGGTCCTTGTGATGGCTATCCTACATCTCCCAACACAGCAGGACTGCCTGGTGGGTAGGGGAGCTCTTGATCTCCAGGTTATGCCTCTGGACCTGGCCCTGGGCAACACTGCAGAGAGAACCACTGGATATATATTTCTTTTTATAGGCTCACATCTTTGTTGCTGTTTCATGCTGTTAGGAGTGCACTGAGAGGTCTTGAGAGAAGTGAGGAGCTGAATGTGAAGGCACAACCTGTCCTACTCTGACAAATCCCACCTGTGCTGTTTGGTTTGGGTAATTCTTTGTGCAGCCAGGAGTTGGACTCAATGATACTTATGGGTCCCTTCCAACTTGGGATTTTCTGTGGTTTGTACAGTTGTGTCACTTGTGACTTGCACATACCGAGTCTGACATTACTGCCTTCTGTGCATTGGTAATGTTTAGAATGTTTATGAAGTGAAGTGTTGTTTGTGTTAGTTGGACACAGTGAAAATACTTGCTGCTTGCTTAAGCTGATTTGCTCCAAATCATTCTGAGCATGTGAGAGGTCAAAACTTTGTTCCCAGAGTCATGCAAGAAAAACTTTTGGTTCATACCATATAGAGAATGCAGTTTTTAGAAATGTAATTGAGCCATTAAATGAGGTCAGCTTGAACTCAGTGGAAATATTAACTTATTTTATATTAAAAAAAAGTTAGTGGGAGACTTAAGCCATAAATATACAAGATGCAATGTTACTCTACTCCTACTATTAACATCCTTTGTTTAGATGGCTTTTCCTTTGTTTTTCTCCAGTATCTACCTGATATCTACCAGAGAAGCTGGTAGCTGTAGTACCAAAATTGTTTATAGGTTGCCTAGAATAAGCCTTGGGCTTCATTGTGACGACAGCAACACTTAAGATTTGGGAGAGGTGAATGACAGAACAGTAACTGCATGTGGAATGAGGAGGGACGAGCAGTTCATTCCAGGAATGCATCGTCCTGCAGTGATGCAATACAAGTTCTCTGCCAGTTGGAAGCATTTATGGGCTTGCTAAGTTATCTGCAAACTTTTTGCATTTAAAAAGAATAGAATCTTGAACTTTACTTGGAAAAAAAAAAAACCTCATTATTAAAAAAAGTAATAATTTTCATTCTAGGATCTGGAAGTGATTATGCTACAAACATAATAGATAACTTTGTTAATAGCTGCAGCTGGAGTTATTTGATGCTTCTGGGTTGGGGTTGCACCCCCCAGTGCCTGCTTGTGATGCTGGTTGAGCAGTGTGTGCTGGAGGAGGAACCCACAAACCTTACAGGTCGATAGAGCTATCTGGGCCTGTGAGTGGTCCTGGGGCTTTGAAAGCCTTTTAGCACTAATTAGTGAGCAGGTGCCTAAACGAGCAGGATTTGCAGCTGTTAATTCTGCTCTCATGTTGTGGTAACTTGATCTGTGTTGTACCAAAGAAAGTAAGCTAGGCTTCATTTTTCTTCCTCCTTGTGGTTTGGGTAGTCAGCGCTGGGAGAAGCTTCCTGAGTAAGCCAAGAACCTACTGTAGGAATCTGCGGCCACACAGAAGAGGTTTGTTGTTACAAGACAAACATGTTGCTGGATCAGAAGACATCTTCCACAGTTGGAACAAATTCCAGCAGTCTGGTTTCCTTTGTTAGTGACTCTTGTGGATGTTGGTGGATCTTCTCTCGCTGGGTTGTTTTCAGGTGGTTTTACAGCAGTGAGCTCCCTGTGGTGATCCATCCTCTACGTTCTTCTTTAAAGAAGCTCCCAGAGAAGTTCAGGTTTGAGCCCTTAGCAACTAGAACAGGGCAGGAGCACTGGGGCTTTGTGTAGGCTCTGTATTAAGTGTGGATACATCAGGTTGCTTTAAGAGACTGCAACAAAAATGGTTCCAGCTGTTGGTAATTTTAAAGCTTGTATGAAGATTAATTCCTTATGATCCTCATATATATATATATATGTGTGTGTGTGTGTGTGTGTGTGTGTGTGTCAGTATTCCCCAGCTTTTTATTCTTAAAGTATTTTTCCAGCTCTGTATCAGAGGAAAGCTGAGGAAGTTGTAGCTTGGCTTTCTGGGTGAAGCTGGCATGCAGAGCGCAGTGGCACAGTGAGTTAATGTGCCTCATCTGTTGCTCACCCCATTACCTTCCTGCTGTGGGGGGAACAGCATGCTTTGCCAACAGTTCAGAAGCTGGCAGATGAAGGTGGTATCTTGTCTTTGAGAAGCTGCAGTTAGAAGGAACACAGCAGTGCCAGGGCTGGGTTTAGGGGACATGCTCTTTATTGACATCCCCCATCCCTCGTGCTGCTTGCTTTCCTTGCTTCAGCTCCCTCTTCTCCCCTTGTCTCTAAAAGCCCCTGGATAAAACCTGTAAGTAATGATTGTGCAGAAGGGGGGTGTACAGCACCTGAAGATTGTGATCATGGAACAGGGCATTGCTTTAGTAAAACAGGATCTTCCCAAGCCTTGGTAAGGCTGAGAGGTGGTGGAAAAGCTTCATTCACTGGGAGGTGAAAAGAAATCTTAACCTGTAAGCAGCAGGGTGAGGTGTACACACTCCACCCAGATACAGAATGGTATGGAAATGAGAAAGGTTGTGTGGATGGGTTCTGTGTGCATGGAGCATCTTTAGGGCTTACTGCTTTGCGTACAGGTAGTGGAGTATGTGAGAGTCAGTGGGCTCAGCAGTGCTCAGATGTGTGCCCATGTTTGTGTCCAGAACTGCACTGGGTGCAGTTTGTGCAGACATGGGCCCGTTCAGTGAGCCACAGTTGGGCACCTTATGAACTCTGGCCCTGAGCCAGAGCTGTGAGCAGAGAGCAGTGAGCTCAGCCCTGCAGGGACAGTAGGGCTGGGTCATCCAGCAGCTAGCTGCCTGCTGAGCAGGGCACAACCCCTGCCATTGTGACACAGAATGACTCCCAGAGTGTTTCTATGCAGCGATTTCTGTTCTCCACTTGCTTTGGGTTCCTTTCAAGCTGCTTGGCTCCCGTGTGTTTTAATCTGGCCATGGTTTGGAGAAAAGAGAACTGCTTATCTGTAATTTTTGTTCTCTAAAGATGGCTTCATGGTTATTTCTGCCCCCACACAAACCTTGCCTTCAAATAATCGGTTGTTTTTCAGATAAAGGTTAATTGGGTCTCCTTAGTGTCTTTCTGGTTTGCTGTTAAACTGACTTACTCCAGCATTTAGCTAGGCAAGTGAGCTTAAGTGAAG